AGAATAGGTTTATAATGAATTTGTATAAAGTGGAGGCTATAAATAAAGACTTTAGATAGAAAAAGAAGAATCCTAGAGGGGCTAAGGCTATATTGATAATAAATTTGTACGAAGTGGAGGCTATAAATAAAGACTATAGATAGAAAAAGAGGAATCCTAGAGGGGCTAAGAATAGGTTTATAATAAATTTATACGAAGTGGAGGCTTTAAAACAAAGACTATAGATAGAAAAAGAAGAATCCTAAAGGGGCTAAGAATAGTTTTATAATAAATTGTACGAAGTGGAGGCTTCGAAACAAAGACTACGGATAGAAAAAGAAGAATCCTAGAGGGGCTAAGAATAGGTTTATAATAAATTTATACGAAGTGGAGGCTTTAAAATAAAGACTATAGATAGAAAAAGAAGAATCCTAGAGAAGCTAAGGCTATATTAATAATGAATTTATACGAAGTAGAGGCTTTAAAATAAAGACTGTAGATAGAAAAAGAAGAATCTAAGCTTCTCTAAGAATAGGTTTATAATAAATTTATACGAAGTGGAGGCTTTAAAACAAAGACTATAGATAGAAAAAGAAGAATCCTAAAGGGGCTAAGAATAGTTTTATAATAAATTATACGAAGTGGAGGCTTTAAAATAAAGACTATAGATAGAAAAAGAAGAATCCTAGAGAAGCTAAGGCTATATTAATAATGAATTTATACGAAGTAGAGGCTTTAAAATAAAGACTGTAGATAGAAAAAGAAGAATCTAAGCTTCTCTAAGAATAGGTTTATAATAAATTTATACGAAGTGGAGGCTTTAAAATAAAGACTATAGATAGAAAAAGAAGAATCCTAAAGGGGCTAAGAATAGTTTTATAATAAATTATACGAAGTAGAGGCTTCGAAATAAAGACTACGGATAGAAAAAGAAGAATCCTAGAGGGGCTAAGAATAGGTTTATAATAAATTTATACGAAGTGGAGGCTTTAAAATAAAGACTATAGATAGAAAAAGGAGAATCCTAGAGAAGCTAGGAATAGGTTTATAATAAATTTATACGAAGTTAGTATATTTAAAATGAATTTATACGAAATTTACCTATTAATTTAAAGTGGTTAGATTATACGAAATAGTAGAATTAGTAGAATATATATTTAATATATAGTAGTAAATATATCCTAATATATTATATAGTCGCACCCTATCAAAAACAATTTAAAATTTTAATCGGCTACCACACCTTTATTTCTAGGTTAATAACTCTAAAATTCGAATACTATACTCTTTAAGATATAGAATAGAACTCTACAAATTTTCAGACCGATCCTCGTACGAGAAGGAATTCCAGTCTACTCGTGAAAAGTATTCTAGTCTACTCATGGCCCCACTTTTTCCTCCCATAGTAAAGCAAAAACCCTAATTCCAGTCTACTAGACTGCGCCCACCCCCATAGGATAGAGATCTGAATAGGCCTAGGGACATGCCTCCTAGAAAAGGGGGAGATAGTTGTCACGGATAACTATGTGCGCTACTATATATATTGGTACCGGGCATGTTAGAGCTAAGAGCTCTGACATAATGGTCTTTTGGCCGAGCGGGAAGATGTGCGCCCGGGCAGATCCTTCACTGTAGTAAAATACATATATGGGGAGAGACGTCATATGACACTAGGGAGATTTAACACTTCGTACCTACATCCTAAGCCAATCCAGAATTCTGTCTCTACTATCATTGTTCCCACGATACGCGTGTGTACGTTCATCCATCTGGGGGTCGGAGATGTGTTTTGGGCTCATGCACGGATTGAAGTTTCCATCCTGGATGCTGTGCAGCTGGTATGACGGCCGTACTCTACCACTTTTGGGTATGAGCCTTTCTCCGGGCGTTTCTTCGAAGAGTTTTGGCGCATCGTGCGTGTGTTCATCAATCTGGAACGTCTGGTGCACGGAGATGTGCTTTGGGCTTATACACGGACTGGAGTTTCCATCCTGGATGCTGTGCAGCTGGTATGACTGCCGAACTCTACCCCTTTGGGGTACGTGCCTTTCTACGGGCGTTTCCTCGGAGAGTGCCGCTGCACCGCGCGACGAGAATAGTGAAAGTCGCGGTAGATATGTCGAGATCAGGCGCTTGAGCCGCATTGCACAGGCACATGTGATTCCAAAGTTGATCTCGAAGAGGGACCAAATTCCTATAACCCCTTCGGTCTTGGTTGAGTGGATGGATGTATTATAGCTCAGCATGTATGGTACCCGTGCTATTGAGCAGATGACGACGCTGTAGGATAGGGGTTTAGCGGAAATTGTCTCTGCGATACAGATTCAAAGTGTCGACGGAAAACGTACCTAGATCCCAGAGCCAGCAAGCAGCCGACCGTAATTTTGTTTTTCTTTGAAGAATGGAGTCCATGGATCGTCGGGATCGGGATGATGATCACTGCGAGATCAGAGACAATGTTCAGAACCGCATGGACCATCGAGACATTCCGTAGACACCCCATATTTGTTAGATGAAGAGGACTACACGGTCCTCCGGTGATGATGCATAGGACTAGGGTGTATACAAAGATCGTTGCTGCGACAGCCACAACAGTGCAGCGGTATACTTTTGCAGGATTGATTTGGAATAAGACAGCCAGAATGGCCATCTTGGTGATTGATGGGCATATTAGATAAGCCAAGACACTTATGAGCATTTGCTACATCTGGTAAGCAAGCTTGAATCAAAATATGTAGAGGATTCTCACCTTAAGGACCCACATCATATCTATTAAGCTAACATCCTGCGGAAGGTACATGACTATTTGGATCAGATCATAGCTTGAACACAATTAACTGAGACGTACAGTTTACAAGAGACACAGAATAGAGCAGCGCAACTCCATAGGACAACGTGATCATGACTATCGCGTGTAGTTAGTATGAGTGTCTAGCCGGGTCTCGGTGTGGTTCATATCATACTCAGATCTATCTCAATTTTCTTGGTCAGCTTGAAAGCCTGAAGGTAGCGAAGGGCCAGAAAGACTGTGGCAATGAAGCAAGTGATGCCAAAAGTGACGACAGTCCCTATTTTGAGCGACGTCGAGGGCGGAGAGAACTGCGTAAACTGCTCTGCCAGGTTAAATTCTGAGATAGAAGTCATATCCGTTGTATCTGATTTCAGAATTAATTGATCCAAGTCACTGTGGGCCTTCTGGCTTTATATGTATACCCTCCTATGATCTCGTCGATCAACTTTCACTACCCGGGCCAGGCCCTTGTGAGACGAATTTCAAAACAGCAATGGAACCCATAGTAGCCAGTAATATCAGAGGTTCATGAAACCTAAATGGGCGCCTGTTTATCTGAGCTCATGCTCCTAGTAGAGGTAAATGTTATAAATATTGACTTTTTCGGCCTCTCACTGGAACGTTCCCTCTCATCGACCTACGGCATTGGTCCTCTTTAGCCTAAAGAACTATAGACCTGCCAATTCTGAAGTAAAATAAACTTCAACTAAAGTTTGACACTAGTATAGTGCGCATCAGATCTTCGGGGAAAACGGAAAACGGTCGCCGGTACCACAACTAGCTTGCAACCGCTTACGAATAGGGGTCGCCAGCTCTGGAGCCAGACAATTTATCTGAGTGTTCTGTTTCCATGCCAAGAATTCCGCAGCGAACTTTGAGGCAGATCAATTGACAATATGATATTGCCGTTTAGGCGTCGGCCCACTATCGAGCTGATTCCAGTGGATCGAGTCCCAGTCCCACCACGGCTGAGAAACGTGGTTTGAATGACCAGGGGGTCGGCTGGGAGGCTTTCTGCGGCGGATTTTGGGTTGTTCCATCCAAGGAGACCCGCATGGTCTGTTCTCCAGAGACGCATTGTCAGTCATAATGGGGGAATCCTGGGGAGGAGTCCTGCTGAAGCTACTGCAAACGGTGGAGACCGCTCAATAATGCTTTTTGTTTCGACCATGCCTTTGTTAAGGCATTCCATTGATGCATTTTTGGCTTCATCTCATTGATGGATGTTTTCTACAGTGAGCCCGTTGTTTGCTTCAGGGTATAAATACCCTGCTCTTCGTAGATTGAATAAATCATGATTCTCTCCCCTCCTTTCCACCTTCCTTGGTAGCTAGCCCTTGCTGAGTAGCCCCAACACTTTTGACTGAGAATAACTTTCGACGGCCTTGAAGTACGCTGTGTTGTTGCTGAGATGCAGATACATCGTATGATAACGGTAAGTCTGAATGCCAGTACTCTGTTAAACGAGTTATTTACGTAACTCCCTCCTTGGGCAGCTGCATCAATCGCCATGTCGCTCCGGAAATCTTCCGAGTGTGCCCTCCTATCGGTCTTTACTGAACATATTCCGTTGGCAACGATTTTAGCCGGGCCGACATTGTTGGTATCTACGGATGTAGGGACTTAATGTAGTTTTATTCGTACAGATACGTATGTATATGATAGCAATATATGGACATCAGACAGTTGGTAATAAAAAAGTTCAAATTTTTGATAGGGTGCAGCTAGCAGAACTACCCGTAAGCGGTGAAAGTTATCAGAATGAGGGAGTGTGGATCTAATAATAGGCAGAATTAAACCAATAGGAAAATGGGAAGCTGGAAGCGGTCGCAACAAAAAAAAACACACGACGATGTATAGGATAGATAGAAGATAGAAGATAGATAGATTATACGATGTTACCAGCCAGGTCTTTAAGGGAAAAGAGCGATTTCAACTAAAATAACTAAAATACTAAGTACGGAGAGTAAGAGAAAGGAAGAAAAGATCATCTAGGGCAGAGATCCTTTATATATAGTCCTATTATATATCAACAAATAATACAAATAGTTATTAAAGCGGAAACCTCCGGTAGAAACCATTCGGCCGAAAACCATACAGCGGAAACGTCCAGCAGAAAACTCTTCCACCCCCCCAGATTGACACAATTAGAAAGATAAGCTAGATAAGACGAAAAACGCGAGTTAGGGTAGTCCCACTCGCGCTAGACTTACCAGATCCATTGAATACCCGTAAGTAAAGCATTGTAAACCCGAGTGAGGCTGATTCACCCGCCTCCTATGGGATAGGTGAAAATTGAAGATAAAGCACTCTTGTGATCCCACAACATGTGACTATATATATATACCACTGCCACAAGTCGGTTCTTATGAACTGACTTTGTTATGACCTTTTGGTCTAATGGGTAAGTGTCAGAGCAGTGGCTGGCGTATCTCACTCTGCTAGTTGCAAATGAAAAGCTCGGAACTAGCAAAGGGTCATAACCTGTTGAGATCTATAGACTAGAGATGATGGCGCAGAGAGGAGAGAGTTGTATTGGAAGAAAGGTGGAGCAAGCTCCCATTGTCACGGATAACTATATATATGCGCTACTATATATATCACCCATACAAACTATCTACTGACTACCAAACGAGGGGTCAATGCCTTAGTACCCAGACATCCATACCCAGACGTCCATACACAACAGTATCAGATTGATCACAACTCATCTTTGTCATCACTCGTTGGACTTTTTTCCTTAGCAAGATCTTTCAAACCTCGCTTTATCATCGAGGTCAACAACTCATAAACCACTTGTGCCGCAGCGAAGGAGGTCTCCTCGCCTCGATTTTGATAGGGCGGTGACACTTCAACCACATCTGCACCTACCAGGTTCAAGTCCTCCAGACCACGAAGGATACTGATCAGCTCTCGGGAGGACCAGCCTCCAGGTTCAGGGGTGCCAGTGCCTGGTGCAAAAGCCGGGTCTAATACGTCGATGTCTACCGACAAATAAACAGGCTGTTCAGTTCCTAGCATTCCTAGGATTTGATTAATGATCCCTCTCGTGCCGATATTGTCAATCTCGTCAGCTGGAATTCTCAACCAGTTCTGAGCAGCGTCTTCGTCGTTGTCTTTCCAACCAGTGCCACCCAAGCGGGAGCGGAGACCAGCGTGAACAGATGGCCTTGATGATGAGTTGCACAACAATCCTTCCTGGTAGGCCATCCAGAACATGGAGCCATGGGTAAAATGAGTGGTTCCCCAATACGACGGGTATGCCTCTGGATGCCAGGTGTCCAGGTGGGCTAGGCCATTGTCAGAGACGCAATAGTTCGGACTTGAGCCACAAGTGAACTTACCGTCGAAGTGCAAAACCTGAATTGGCCTGTCGTGGACCTCGTTCAGAGCTCGAAGGGCCGGTAATGATAGACTATGGTCACCGCCAAGGGTCAAAAGCTTAGGTCTGGAGCTTACTCCGGACACAGTTTGATGTCGACCAAGTTGCTTGAGAGCTTGAGTCATTTGCTCCTGGGCAATAACATTGTCAAAAGGAGTGACAGGGATATCTCCGCAATCAATAATTTTAGCCCAACTCTGATAAGGATTGATGCCAGCGCGAGGGTTAAAACCACGAAATGACGACTGCCGTCCAGATACATGGCGAATAGCGCGGGGTCCGAAGCGAGCACCGGGTCGATAGCCGACGCTTGTGTCATAGGGGGCACCGACGATAGCAATGTCGAAGGTTTCTCGCGGATTGAGAAGGCATCTAGTGTGCTCTAGGTTGGCAAATGTGCTGATCCCCGAGAAAGCGTACTTGGAATTAATATATCAAAATGTGCCACTTAACCAATGACGCGATTGTAAATACTTACATTCTGTCCCCATTTCGCTTCGAGCTCCGCCAAATCTTCTTTAGTCCAACCTTCAGCTTCATGAGAATGTCCAGTGCAGGCGAATGATGTAGCCCCAAGCAGTATCAAGGTCAATACACGGTATGATTTCATCTTTTTCTAATGAGGTATTTCTGGATTTTTGCGGATTGTTGACACAACCACCCAAAATTGAAGCCCTTGTTTAAAAAAAGAGAAGCCCTGGTCGGAACTCTGACCTCCGACTACGTCCTTACTTAAATATTACTATTCCAGTTGTACCGCGGACACACCGCTTGCACCCGGCCGTGGGCATTTGTACCATGTGATCTATTCATTGCATTACTGCAACATACTCCTCCGTAGAGAGGAGAAAGTGGGACTGGAGATTTGCCACAAGTTGTTCGCGAGATACGAGATTGAATCTCCACTAGGCGTTTTTTACATTGTAAACTTAACAGGGGGGGCTCAGAGATTCTTGCCTTTCAGTAACGGGGTTTTATGGAGCCGTGTCATGTGAGGCCAAACCACGACCCAGTATCTGATCACCGTGGGTACAATGTTACAGCAAGTAAATTCGAGTGTAATTTACTATTTTCTTCTTTCGCGGTAGGATGTCCCCTGGGACAAATGATAATAACTGTAACTGAATTCGACGAGCCAGCGAATCCCAGAGGTGATGGACTTGCTGAAGCGATATTCCGATCTGCCAGTATGGTTGAAGTGTAATTGGGTTATCTAGCTATCTACACTTGGATTTCAAACATTGTCCTCTGTCATTAAAGGCTTTTAAGCATGATAAGATCCTTTTGAACAACCGAACCAATGGTAAATCTGTGATCACCCACAACTCGATACCCCCATCGTTCGTATGCCTGCAGAGCTTTGTCATTTTCCTCCCAAACACCAAGCCACATGTTTCGAAAACCTCGCTCTCTTGCCAGGCACTCGAGTTTCTTTTCCAGTAAGCTACCAACGCTTTTTCCTTGGGCTATGGGATCGATGTATATCCGTTGTAATTCAACTTTGTGATCCACATTGGCCAGGCAAGGCTCGTCACTTCCACGATTCAGATAACCGAAGCCCACGATTTGATCATTACCATCCGTGGCAACAAGGACATTTTTCAAGTCATCAGTCAAATCTTCCTGAATTGCTGCCGTTGAGTATGATGTTTTCAAATATGCAGCGAGCTCGTGGGGCTCTACTGAGTGGGCGAAGCTGGCAGAGAAGACATGGGCACCCAGCTCGGCAATTCGGGCGGCATCGGAAACCAGTGCCGAGCGCACTGTGACCGGCGGTCCTGGTGAAGAAAGCATAAATAGAGATTGGCTATTCGGACAACAGATTAAGGTAGCATAGAATATAGAGAAAAGTTTTAGGTAGAACAATAGAAAATTCCTCGGGGATCCTGGCTTTCATAATTTTAGAGCCAAGGGGCTGACATAACCATTGACCCACTCCAGGGTTGGTGCGCTGTCTGGCAGAAGACGCATCCATTATTGCCCACTTCCTACCGAGGTAGGTGGAGCTCGGAGACTGGGTGCCGGACCCACTACTGACGCTCTCGGTGTGAGTGTATCAACGTCGTGATTGGATATCTCGGGTCGATCCTATCTCGACCAATGTTCTTATTTCCATGTACCGTACCGGGGAATATGATCAATGATACATCACAACCATGATGGGATGCCCAATAAATGATGGTCACGTTCCTCGTGACCGGTGCTTGGACTTCAGGTCTGGTGCCTATCTACAACTCCACCCTCGCTACTGCCCAAGTCGTGGAGTCCGGCGGTTCCTGCGTGCTCCAGAAACTTGGTTCTATCTAACTCCGATCATGTGTACGGAGCACTTGTACACCACGCCCTTATTGGCGGTTATTTCCGATCGAGGACGCTTGATGTCGATTGTTATCACTTTAAAGCTTGTAGAATGCCAAAGATAGGGCATAATGGTGCGACACTCGCTTGGTTCCGTGCCGGTTTTGCAGAGGAGGTGCGTGCGCCTGTGGATTGAATAATCTTCCGCAATTAACTCTCGTAACAATGTGGAATGACCTATAGTTACAATGAATTCGACCTCCTGATGTTGAAGGCGTCCAAGTTTACTGTCATGCAATAAAACCAGTCAATGCCTGCTGATTGATGGGCCCGGAATAGAGATCAAACCTTTACCCACAGATATATCCTTGAAAGATGTACAAAGTCAAAGACTTGTTTGCACGTACATCACTGAAGAAGAAAGTCTTGCCGGTTACTGCGTTTCATTCTGCCAGTCATAAAATTTGGATGAAATAGTAATGAACGGACCTTAGACACTAGATATACCTAGGTATTGTTGTAGTTTCCTGCCATGTGCAGCCCTGAAGTCGTACCTAGGTATATTAAACATGGCTTACAACATATTGTACCATCCCCGTCATCTCATCTACCTTGTAGGTTCAGGCAGAATAGCAGGGAGTGTGTTACTCGCATTAACCCCCTCCATTCACAGACGGTAAGCAGAAAGCTAGTCATATAAACGTAGACCAACAAAATCAGCGCCATAGGTTTGTGAGACATCTCCAGCAACCTCATTTCCAGTAACAAAGCCATTTGAACCATTCTTCCAACCGTCGATCAAGATGCCTAACTTTGAGCTATCCCACCACCTCTTGCCCGGACCGAAGAGTTCACTATGGCGACCGGATAGCGGTACTTCAAGTCGAACAGGGTTTCCGCTATTCAGAGATATTGTCAAGTTCCTAGAACTGGATCCCCAGTCCCAACTGGTCGCAAAAGCAATGTCATTGTTAATATAGTCTATCTCCAAATACTTGGAAGCAGTGCTAGGTTCAGATCCGGTTTCAGTAACTCTTGCTGGAATGGTAGCATGAACGGTATTTTCTGCATTAATATACCCGACTTTTGATCCGACAGGAGTACAGAAACCAGCGTCACACACTTCGAGTTTAGTAGAGCCACAAAGTGTGAACGATGTGCAGGCATAGTATGTACCCGATGGAGACGCAATTCGGATAGATTTAATTGAGACTGTGGAGAAAGTTGTTACCTCGTTCGGAGATCCAGCAGTCAGGGGTATTTTGTCGGTACGCTTCGAGCAGAGGGCGCGACTGGAGCTTTTGCTGCTTTTGAGAACGATTGAAGCAAGATGGTTGTCTTCGTGGCAGCAAGACCGGCAAACTCTACGGTCATGGTATGATTTGTGCTCGCGGTATTAGCATAAAGTGATGGAACGTCGTTTTGTTTCTGATGGCATGGTCAGTCTTCGATATTATGATCTAATCCTCGGAAGTTTCACTTATGCCTCACCCGTTCACAGTTGCGAAATCTTCGCTTGCATATACCCCTGCCGTGGTTGTGTCCCGCAACTCAAGGAGCATCACGTCATGTGCTCCAACAGAGGCTGTATATGTTTAAGTATATAACTCACACAAACTCCCTGCTTGATCAATGCCAGTACCGCCCGTCTTGATGCCCTCGTCCTCGTAGACCCCGAAAAGCAAATCCAAATCATGGATGTATTGGCCGACAGCGTGGACTCCGCTGGGGAACAATGTCTCGTTCCAAATCAAAGATCCATTCGGTAATCGATCGGCAACTGTCCATCCACAGTCGATTCCAACGTATCGATAGCCAAGTTTATCTAGGCCTAGATCAACTAAAGCCTTTTCATTCGAACGAATCGTAGTTTCGTTAGGTGAACAGGAGTAGTGATTGTAGCTGCTCCATCTATTGAATGTCAGTAATACATATAGAATCCCAAAGGTTTGAGGATTACACCGGCCCCATATGTGGTGTTTCCACTACGCCATCATCAAGCCGAGGCTGCAAGGCCGCAAAATCAATGCCCAACGACAAGGATGCTAGCAAAGCTAACAATAGCAACATTTTTCGTCTTTATATCATTGGCAAGGCTTAGGAAATTTGGGGCTTTATACGTAGGACTTATTAGAGTCAATAGGTATTTTGCGGGGCCAGTAGAGTGGTGTATTAACGTGGGGATCTCAAGCAATCGGATAATTTCCCCATTAGGAACCATAGAGGAGTTCCGACTGGACTGCGGATCTTCGGATAAAAGATGGTTGAATTGAACGACGAAAAATACGTAGGTTCGCCCTGCACTACGCAGCATTATAGACGCCGGTCAATTCCCGCAGTTCTTGATGCCTTGATGCGTGTTTTTTTAGCCTGAATTTTGACGGCTCGTTAGTTACACCGCTCTAAACAATGTATTGTAAATCATGAGCTTGTAAATGAAGCCTTTTTTCTCCCATACATACATCAAAGAGGCTTCATTTTCATACATGGAGGCTTGTAAACCACCCCAAAAATCGGAGATGCATGCATTTGTATGGGAGAAGAAAGCTTCATTTTGTAGAATTGAGAGACAGCTGAAAGAATTGGAATAGTACCTTGCTTATTAAGGCGACTGTAATAGTAATTCAGGTATTTCTATTTTTCTGCAAGTGTTAATTCAGGCCCCAAGCTAAAAACAGGCATTAAGGCATCTAGAACTGCGGGAACGGGGGTTTTAACCCATGGCGGCTATACCCCTGCGTACCCGCACCTTGCTATTGGTTATCTGATATTCTGGTGCACCATTAAACCAATACATAGGGCTAGCAGGCTGAATGTGACTTGCTGGCCTCGATTCATTTGCCGGATATTATCATTATATAGAAGTTCGTTTAGCCACAAGGATACTCGTGAGATATACAGCTGTTGATGATATCGATACGGCGGATGCAAATATCGAATATTTATTCGACGTGCTTTTCTACTGCGGATACGATATTCGAAGTGTTTGGGTTATTTGACGATTACTGATTATATTTCTCTTTTAGTCTTCCTGCTTCGCTAAGATTACATGAAGAGGGGAACGCTCAAGGCTGTATGCTCTACGGCATGCGGGTCGATTCAGCACTCGTAATTTGGCTTCATGCTCAACCTCGCATACAAAAGTACCCAGGAGCACTGTCCAAGAAGTGGATTGAGAGAGATGTAGGAGTGTGTATTATCAATCTGTGTCTATCTGCTACTTGTGACCTCAAAATCCCGAGGTCCCGAGGTCCTAATGCTTGCTTACATAACGCATGAACTGGAACATAAAGCAAAAGACGGTGACGCGCACTGATTGTAGTGGAGAGCCTATCTTCCCACTACAATATGTAAAAGTGTCTTACTTTGACAAGTCTCCGTGCACTTTTAATAAGGGGCCGCTAAGCTGGTTTGTAACAATTTGAACATCTCAATCAGAAACGCATAACTCAGAATTCATCAATATTTATAACAATTTGCCAGAGGGGCATTCCCAACCTGCTCTAAGTGTTCCACGCCTAATGCCTTGGTTGTTTCAATGTCACATTCCATGGGCACTTTCTCAGGATAAAATTCAATTTTGCCACCTTCCTGAATGACGTTCGTTCGGTCCAGGAGAAGACGAGCCCGCACATAGGGATCAAGTCTCCAGTGGTTAACGCGCAGTCGCTCGGCTAGATAAGCTCTTTCGCTTTCACTGGATTGGAGCTTCGTCGTGTCCTTCAATTTAGTCGCATTAATCCACTCAGATGTAGCAGCCAGGAATTCATCACCAATAGCTTGCCGCTCGCTTTCCAGTGCGTCTCGTGTTGTAGTATCATCCATCCGTGAGTTCTCAGTAGAATCGGGCTCAACGTATTCGTATGACCACTTCTCGTTGCCGCCCATCTCTTCCACGATCTGACCACGGGGGATGAACTTCTCGAGGTCGGCGACACTATTTGTAAATTCAACCTTGGCTGCAATTTCAGGATCCATCCAGCCTCGAATGAGTCGCCAAATGCCTAGAATATGGAACCGGTGAGCAAAGCAAAGAGAGATAGTCAGGCACAATATCTTTGACCACGACCAAAATTGATTAACTGACCTGAGAAAACCCACGGCGCATTATGAATAAGCATGATTCCCAAACATTCAGGATAGTTCGCCTCGAAACACTTGAGAATGAACTTAACAGGTGGATATTCCTACCCAAAAGAAAAGGGTCAGTCAGGTCAGCCATGCAAACGACAGTGATACTGCGTGGACCGGAAACGGTGAAATACCATATTGGACAGTCCAAACCCTGTCATATCAAACAAAACAGCCTAGCGTGGAGTCAGTGACGCCGATTCATGTCGCCGCTGTCAAACAGCATACGTACTGCAGTCTCAATAGGAGGAGCTAATGTAAGTCGCACTGATTCGATCACATGGACAATATATCGCTCCAAAGATTCTTCACTCTGAGCCCCAGGCTTGTGCAAGCGGACTCTCACCACCACGATCGGGCGACCAGCCCTATCAACGCCATGTACGTAACTCTTTCCCATTCGCATTTGAGACAAGAAGTCATTTCCAGCTTTCTGTTCACTTGTGCTGGCCTTGTTTTGAGTCTGCTTGAGGGCATGTAACTCTCCCTTTGCCATCACGTCATCTACATGCATTTCCTTAACTCGCCAAATGACTGCTTCCATCAGCATTGCAAATGACTTAGGTACGTCCCATTTGCGAGCGCGGAGGAAACGCAAAAGTAGGGCATCGGGGTGGTCGTGTTTGAGAGTGCCAAGTATTCCCGTACGAAGCTCAGTGGGTGTGATCTTCGAGAGGGCCTTCTTGATTGCGTTTGATTCAGCCACACCAGCCCCAATTTCTCCGAGGTATCTCATAATGTTTCGGTGATATAGTGTATTCGGGGTTGGGATGGCTTTTTCGGGGACGTTGCTCTGTGTGCGGCCAAGGAGCGATAGCCGTCTCTGGGGTTGAGTTGGACTGAAATCATCCTCCGAGCAGCCATTGATAGGTTCATTGCTTATGGATATTTCGCCCGCCTTGAGAAGGACGGACCAGAGCATTTGTAATTTTGCTTCCTGGTCCTTGCTGATGTTGCCCAAAAAGCCAGGTTTGGGACCATCGCCTGCCATTTTTCTTTCTTTGAAGACTCAGACGTGATCTGTAACGAATAGGTTGAGGTTGGGGTTGATTGAGGAAAGCGTCCAGATAGTGGGGTATGCCCTGGTCTTAACAAACATCCTAAAAGATACATCGGTTGTGGAAGTTATAAATCTAACCCACGGATGATCATCGCAGATCCACATGAAACCCCTCATACCCCGGACACTGCCTCGGCCCCCAGAAACTGGAGAATGGGATGTATTCGTTCTTTTGAAGTTCTATCAATCTAGTGCAGTGATGACAGGGATCACAGCTGTGACATGCACTATATACACCCCACCCGTTCCCCGGGATTTTGGGAGTATTCCACAGAAGGAAGCCTCGGGCCCTCGGTCGGAAGTAGTTTCATACACATGTGGTAAAAAGACCAATTTTGGGATTTGGGGAGTCTCGTCATTTCAGAGAATTAAATTGAAGAAAGATGAAACAGAGACTAATAATCCATAGAATACTATGAAGGGCCTTTGTGGGCTAATACTTGCTAAACGTACAATGTGTTATATATATAGCTCTTGTCGCCTATTGATACTATGATTTAAATGTACAATATAGTTGACTGGTACCTTGACCCCTAAAATTAGCCCAACTTGGCTAACAGCTCAGGGGACTAACGATCTACACATGCCCCTCTCTCATTGCGGGGAAATGCGGTCATTGCGTTGACTGGGTATACTCTACACGCAGTAATTTTATATTGACAACCAGGTTTCGGGTAAACTAACTAATTTGTATACACAGATCTCCTCAGGCGCGTTGGGGATAACGTGAATCCGAGGTAAGAAGAACCGTCAAGGTAATAACTCTTTAGAATACCCAAGATGTATCATCTATCCCCTGAAATCCGAAACAGCAGCTAAGAAATACCGTATCTACAATCAGTGCTATCTATTCATTCCGCGATACTCGGCTCTTTGTCTAATTTCAGGATAAAGAGATTGGGTTTACAAGAAGTTTTAGTAAAATCGAAAGGTATTCCGTACTCCTTACAATAATACCGACTACATACATGTATGATACATATTGGTAATATACATCTATCCCGTGGGTACTCCGTACTTGTAAAAAGATTACGTTCAGACAACAACCCGGTCGCAAAAGTTATAATATACCTTAGCATCATCATGACCTTCTAGTATTAGAAAACCGGAGAGACTCGGTGCCAGAATCTCTACACAACTAATTTTTGATGGAAAGTGCAGTCGGTGTGGTGCTTACGTGTAGGATTATTACTACACAACTACATGGTACCTAGGTATGTCTTGAGGTTACCTAAAGATAATTCCAGTTCAATTTCTTATCTCCTATGTTGTACACGCTTGTGTGTGTCACCCTCAAGTCTTCTAATAGTTAGCAAATTTTAGAACTTCTAACTACCTGTCCAAGCACTGATACATATCCCACTCACACGAACTATAATCATTATCAATTATTCATGTGTCATAAAATGCCAGATAACCAAGGAAATCTCTCACCGGTGTCTCCGCACTTGACGTTGGCTTATCAACTCTTCCGAGTTGCCAAGCATTTATTTGTTATCTTTGGTGTCATGGTATGTATATGTACAACGATAAAGGTGCGATAGGTGCCGTGTCCAATGCTCTTAAATAGAGTAGATACCTGTTATATTGAAATCATTGCTTTAGCTCGTCCTCGTAACCATGTCTACCCCGGATACCGAAAGTCACCTGCCCCCTTTAAAACAAGATGTATCAATCACTATCGGGAGTGTGGACATCGACCCTCGAGCAGAGCGCACATTGGTTTGGAAGTTAGATCTTCGGATACTTCCCGTACTGGCTATTATGTATCTCTTCAATAGCCTGGACAAGTCCAATTTGGGCAATGCTAAGACAGCTGGACTTGAAGGTACGCCGCCACTACGGTTCATGAGTGAAGAATACCGCATTGACATTGATTATAATGATAGAGACACTCTCACTGAAGGGGAATCAGTACAATCTCCTTCTTAGCATCTTTTTCGTCCCTTACGTTTTGACTGCACCTTTTCTCGGTCTTTTGGGAAAGAAATATGGACCAAACATTGTGCTACCCTGCATGATGCTTGGCTTCGGTGTTTGTACAATTCTTGTTGTCGCCGTTTTCAACTTCAGCGGTCTCTTCGCCATTAGGTGGTTTTTAGGTATGGCAGAGAGCGCATTTTTTCCGTTGGTGATCTATTACCAGACAACGTAGGCCCCATCCCTTCAAGCTTTTTGGAATTGCATCGTCTCTAATTCAAACCCAGTTTCTATCGTCGGGGTGAGCTAGCTCGCCGACTCGCCATTTTCTACGCTGCTCAAACCATTGCCTCTGCCTTCTCCGGCTTGCTGGCCTTTGGAATTTTCCGCATCAAAACAGGTCCATTGGCCCCTTGGAGGTATCTCTTCCTGATCGAAGGCGCGGCAACCATTCTCTTTGCACTATTTGCACTGTGGTATCTGCCTCGGTCGGCCTCGGAGGCAAATTTTCTGACACCCGAAGAGAAACAACTCGCATACCTTCGTTTGCAGATTGATAGTTCTTCTGTGGTCAATGAAAAGCTCGACATCCGGGATGCGTTCCAAGTGTTTAAACACGGGACTAGCTGGGTAATTTTAGGCATTCAAGTTTGTCTAGGTGTTCCCCTACAAGCCGTTCAGCTATTCCTTCCTGTGATCATCCAACGCCTTGGATATAGTACCGTGAAAACTAACCTGTTTACTGTGGCCCCCAACATCTCAGGCGCGGCAGTTCTCCTCATCCTGGCGTTCAGTAGTGACTGGACAAGATGGAGGTTCCCATTCATTGCACTCGGCTTTTTGTTCACATTTGTGGGTTTCATAATTTATGCGACTATCGATGTGCAGCATGATCTACATGTAGCGTATTTTGCTTCATTTCTGATGACATGGTTGGTTATGTGTATTTCCCTTCAATTACGAGATAGAAGCTGACAAGATTATCTAGGGGCACCTCTGCACCTTCCGTTCTTCTCGACGCTTGGTATAATAACAACACCGCCAATGAAGGGCGTCGTGTGGTATTAACGAGTATTGCTGTCCCGTTGGCGAACTTGATGGGGGTTGTTAGCTCAAACATCTTCCGCACGCAAGATGCACCCAAGTACTTTCCTGCGTTAATCACGACGGCGTCATTTGGCGGGGTGGGTATTATCTTGACACTCTGCCTGGGGCTTTGGATGATTGCAGATAATAAGAAGAGAGACCGCTTACAAGGTGTTCACGTTAAGGCAAAGGATATCCCTACGGAATACCTCAAGGATGGGCCTGCTTGCGACAACTTCCGCTGGTTTTATTGAGATTCTTCAACATATATATATTAGATTTTTAGCTGCGCCAACGCGACGCCAAAGCAATGGGAGAAAATATCTCTAATGAATGGCTATACAAGAGAGATAAGATCTGTCTATCAACAGAAGGAAGCAGGTCTCGACAAACAGGGCGAGCCTCGTATAGGCAGCCACACATACCGCGCACCTAAGATGTCCGCTACAGCTCAGATAGTCTCCTGGTATCCAGTCAAGATAACCCGGGTAGCCAACTGACGGTTCAATAGCACGGTAGAAGAAGGACCATTTTCTCTTTGCTCAAAATTTGCATCCGGTTGGAGCCGCTCCAACGGAGTCGGGATATACGGGTGTCTGGGCGGCATCCACGCACTTGCAGTAGTTGGTTTCCAGTGGAACATCCGTGCACGCACTTGCCGGCGCTGTTGCACAGTACGTGTTGGTTGAGACCGAGGTTGTCATGCCTGCTGGACACGAACTTGAGGGCATGCAGAAAGTGTCGACGGTTGATGCGCCTGGAAGCATGGTATGGCTATACCATTGATCTTTGGCACACGAGCAGGAAACAGCTTTAGAAATAAATCAGGTATATTAGCCTCATTGTCTACATGGTACATGGACGGGGGAGAATAAGGAGCAAGTTGAACAGGGGAAATGAAGAGGAAGGACTCACCACTAATAATAGTTGACTGTCCTCCCGCCAAGGTACCCTCATACATGGTTTTAGTTGTCCAAGGAATCGCCCCATGTGAGCATTCGGTTGTGATCCAGGACGCATCAAGCGGAAAACAGGTCGACTGCTCGATGCAATGACCTGGGTGCCAAACTGAGGGGAAGTACCCCTCGGAGCACTGGATCGGGGGCTCCGGCCTAGCGCAGTACGACGTGGGAGTTCCCATCGTACAATCTGTTGTGTAGACAGCGGTCTGCCCGTCCGAGCAGCTGAGCGACGCAGCCTTGGTGATCGTCGCCGGAGGCACGATTGTTGTACCTGCTGCAGTCCGCTGGGGGAATGCCAGGACAGTAGTGAAGAATAAAGAGAACACAGCGACGACTTGGGGAAAATCCATTCTGACGGTCTTTGATCTCACTGGGTATTGAGCAAAAGAAGCTTCCAGGGTTTGTGAAGTCTGTAACAGGTGCTCTTCCGGTCCCGAGAGCCCCAGGCAAGGACCGAACATGGGTTTTATATCATCGCGGCACGTCTCACTACGACGTGTCTCACTCACTACAGCTGAATGAGCATGCTCTGGAACTATCAAAGTTCGAAAATTTTTCTCGCTGCTCCTACATACATGCGCCCCGTATTAGTGGGGCGGTTTCTGCTAGCTCGAAAGAGAGACAAAGGGCTCAGGTCAGCCCATAACGTTACATCCACATTTAATATCAATCGCCTGGTAAACTGGCTCATTGGACGCCTTGCTCTTTTTCTCGGAAAACAAGTACTCAGAAACAAGTCAGGGAATAAAAATCAAAAATAGCGATGTTAGGCGTACCTAGGTAGCAAACCGCTCATTCGAGAAGTTCCAGAAGTGAAGGCCCCCCGCGTGCAGCGGGGTTGGGCAGCCCATTCTTCATATTATATTGTGGGTACTTGCGGAGATGTGAGAGGTTGCGCAATGATTGTGATGCTGACGCCTCGAATGTTCGAGTTGATAATTCCAACTTTTGTTCGCTCACCATGGCTCTTCTACTGGCCTATCGGACGCAGAGAGAAATACACATGGAGACATTTCAAATTTCTCCTTACCCTGGGTGGCGATTTTTTGGCCACTAGTTATTCCGCAGGATTTGAGATTTGTATCTTCAGCATTTGTCTCATACCTGCCTTGGTTCATCCGCCAACGCCAGAATTTCTAGGAGAGATTTGCTAATTTGGCGTCTATACACTCTTGGGAAGTCTCTGGTCGCAATAAATGAGACCAAGCAGTGTGCCATGGGGCGCTTCCGGGATATTGATGATAATGTACGCATCCTAATGGCGCCGGAATTTTATCTAGATGGAATGGACAAAAGTTGGAGAAATGTTTGATTCCGGGAGAATCTTCCTTTTGCTATTCTATTGTAATGCCTCCGCAACCCCTAGGTAGACGGCAACTGACCTACCTAGGTAGGCACCGGATTACCAATTTAGACAAACCAAACCTCGCAACTTATCTGTCTATGGTGTGGGGCCCTGTTGACTGTATATACCTGGTCAAAAAAGAAAGAACGAAAGAAAGAATAGAGAGCTACCATGCGCCCCACCCAATTTGGGGCCGAGGAGTCCAGCTCAACCTGGACCTGAGTCATCCATCTCCGAGCTCCGAAGACCGAGCTCCGACAACTGCCTAGCGAACACCTTCAACTACTTCCATGTTTGTCTTTTGACCATCCCCTGGCCATACCAATTTTCACGATGGCAACTCCCCGCCGTAACGGTCAATTATCATCATGTGAGCCGTGTCGTACCTCAAAGTTGCGATGCGATCATACAAGCCCTATTTGTGGACGCTGTGAGCGCCGCGGTCTTCATTGTACCTATCACCCGGCACCATTGACACAGTCCCTCACGGGAATACGTCCGCATAAAAAACGCCGCGTTATATGCGAATCAGATCCTCTTAGTAATACCAGTCGACTGCACCATGAGAACGATGTCTGGACTCGGAAAAAAGCATCGGTCTCGGGGCCGGGGTTTTGGGGACAAACTAGCTACTGCGATGCATTCACAGATACCCGAAATGGACTCAATGTCGGAGTTCCATACCTCACAGGCCATGACAACTTCCCCGTTGACCAAAAGCGAATCAATCTCGGTGCTCGGGTGTTAGCGCTTCTGGAAAACCTTCCATTTTATAGAGATGTGGTCACCGCTCGATTCAAGATATGGAAGGGATGGAGCCTTGGTTGGCCAGTTACCGACATGATCTTCACAGTCGTTGAGAAGATGTGGAACTCCCTAGAAACTGAGGGCATGAACACAAACCAACGAGCTTCCTTATTGTCCAAGAGACTGTTTGAAATGCATAGCCGGCCGCTCGAGGTGCACCCTTCAATGACCTGGGAGGACTTCCAGTCTGCTGCAGCTGGGAGATGGGAGTTGATCGGGCTGCTCTTTACTCTGACAGGCCTAGCCACGGACTGGGTCCCTCACGGTGACCGCATCTTCATGCGTCAGGATACGATGGATGCGACAAGTCTCGCTATAACTGCAACCGCTGTGGCAGACATATGTCTTCAATTCTGCGATAGCACTGGAATTGTGAATGATATTGTAGCCTGGCTGCTATTGCATCACGTCACGCTTTTGGCGATAGTGTATGGTGAAAGTGGTCTGTCATCCCGTTCTTTGCCTGCCAACATTTTCTAACAGGTCTAGACTTTCGACCGTGGAGAAAGTTGGGAGAGTTATCGACCACGTTATTTGCGCTCGGGCTTCATCAAGATTCTAGCGCAAAGGCACCATTCTTTCTTTCTGAGATGCGAAAAAGAACTATGGTCGCGGCGTACTCAATGGACAAAGTGCTTGCCACTTTCCTAGGTCGCCCGCCACTCATCAGCTGGCGCTACTGTGATATTCAAATGCCCCTTGACTTGAGCGTTGAAGAGATATTCGCCGATCCAGTCGTTCGTAACGCGGCAATTGCTCGACTTGATGAGAAAAGTGGATGGAATCTGGAGTCAAGCTTGATGAAGGGCATGTGGCCTCGAATTGCCCTGATCACTAGTGTTCTCCGGGAGAAGGTCTTGGAACTTTCATTGAGTTGGCAACTAGAGAATCTCAGCCAAAGGGTCGAGTACGCTGACAATTCATATTTCCTACCAAATCCAGGGCATGGCTGACGTCCTCAGGGAACTTTCACGCGAATCTCGCCAATTACGACAGGGACTGCCAGAATTCCTCCATTGGAAACCCGATATTGAGGGCGTGGTTACTTCTAGAGTAGAATATGATCTCCTTTTTGAGGTTCATATAGAGTTTCTCTACAATGATTTCCTGCTCTACCGGACCCTCGGGAAACGCACCCAGACGCAGCCCGAGGCAATTATTGGTATCGCCCGACAGATACTCAAATCATTGGTCATCATGATTTCCGAAAAGACTCGCTCTAGACAGCCCATAAAAGGTATTGGGCTTAGTGTAAGTGGATCATATCTTTGATTGTGGCAAAATGTCGCAATGCTGAAATCCCAAAAAAACATTAGGTGTGCTTACCGGGTCTTCCTTCTGCTGGTGTTCTCTGTGCAGAATTGCTACGTCGATCCCGCACGACAGTGATAAGCTCTTGTTTGGAGTTTCCTCGTTCAGAGATCATTCAAAATTTGACCCTTTTCGCGTCATACCTAGACACCATTATTGAGACCCATGATTGTAACTACCGTGTCGCACAGCAGGGTCAAAAGGCAATCCGCCATGTGTTGGACCAAGTTCTCTCCATCGAAGGTTCCTCCTCTGTCGTAGAAGACACTGGAACGAGCGACAAAATGATTGATGATGCCAACTTGCTTGACGGTGTGGATTTCGACGATCATGACTTATTTCTTGGTTGGCTTGATGGCAACATGCAACACATGTCCGACTCTTGGCTAGCATCGGTCAATTTTACCTGAATATGTGAAGCCTGTGCAATTATGAACCAATATACGTACCAGCGACATTATCTGGGTCAGCATTTCAACAAGTAATGGTGTTCATGGGGTAGGTGCACGAGGGGGACCTCGGGTTGGACCTGCCCAGGTGACCTCGGGACCTCGGGAGGGCCCGGGGCTTACCTAAACCATGATTATCACGTGATTACATGCGCTTCAGGTCACACTGGTCTCCTGTACCTACTCTTACCCGGATAGAATCCCGAACTTTCTAATGCTCATTCGTTCCTAAACATCCTATTGTGACTGCAATCATGGACCACTCAATGTCCGAGCTCCAACCCAGAGCAAAACGCCGGAAAATTGCTGTTGCCTGTGATGATTGTCGAACAAGAAAAGTTCGCTGTGACGGGGTACAACCGAGTATGTCCTTGCGATGGGATGTGTACGGAATGCTACCCGTGCTGACTCAGTGAAGTGTGCGGGCCATGCAGCAAGAGGACCGACCAGGGACTCCAATGCGTCTATACAGGGGAGTTAGAGAAAAAGCGAGCAAGGCAAAAGTAATTGCTGTCAATTCTATGTTTAAGTCACCCAGGGTTCTGTTTGCTAACATCTGTGCCACTAGTTATATATCCAAGCTAGAAACTCGGATCCAACAATTGGAAAGCCCACAATACTCAGAGAAGGGTCATAAATCAGAATGCACGCCGGTTGGTATATAGTAACGCTCTAGTTCCACTATCTAAAGGATCTAATTATAGCAGACAAATCTTCTATCGCCGACACCTAGGAATATCCAACCCGAGACGCCTGGAAACTACACACGAAGCACCCACAGTCAGGCTGAGGTATCCACACCCACGGGTCAGCGAGATGGAGTGAACGCGATGATGGGTGCTGTAGTGGAAGAACGCCCCAGTCAAGGGTTCTTCGGAAGCTCTAGCGCAGCAGGGTTCATGCGCCAAATTAGAACCGCAGTCGACAGGAGAGTCGCATCACCTCACCGAAGATCTTCAGCTCCCCATCTGGCTGTTCCTTCAAGCCTAATGCCAACACGGAGCGAAAAACATCAGTCTTCAGTGGCAAACTATGTGCTCCCCCCGCGGAAAATGGCAGATCGCCTCATGGAGGTTTACTGGGAATGTGTCTTCCCGCTATATCCATTTCTTGTCCCGGCTGAGATGAAAACGGAGTACGCGAAAATATGGACTGGGGATAGCCTGGAGTATGATGAAAACATGTTGATGTGCACGTTGAATGTCATATTCGCCTTGGCCAGTCAGTTGGCCGACTTTGTCCCGCCAAAAGAGCGAGAAGCATCAGCGGATGCTTTTTTCTCGCGGGCGAAAGGCCTGTTTCAATTCAACCTCTGGGATACTGGATCAGCAGGTTTGATTCAATGCTTACTCCTCATGGCCCAGTATCTGCAAAGTACCGATTCTGCACATCAGTGTTGGATTGTCACCGGACTTGCGATCCGTAACGCTCAAAGCTTGGGACTCCATCTGCCCCAGAACATTGCCCGCCTCCAGGGCTTCCAAGAGCAACAGCTGGCGCGCAAAATATGGCACGGTTGTATTTTAATGGATCGGTATGATCAACATTACTCCCTGACCGACTAATTTCTGTCATGGTTCTTATTTCAATGTCTCACAGGGTCATATCTATGACATTTGGTCGACCTGCGATGATCTCAAAGGCTTCTAGTGGGGCGGTTCCCCTGCCAGCCACCGTTGACGATGAATATATCCCATCTGGGTCTAGCAAAGAGGTATCCCAGCCTCCTGATCGGCCTTCAATGATGGCATTCTATGCTAAGTCATTGGAACTTTACGAGATCATGAACGACGTGCTTCTTAGCCTTTACAAACCAGTTTCCGACGATAATGCGGAAGATATTCATAGCTTCCATTTTGATAATGTCCCAAGTGAGGGAGAACGGACTATCTTTGAGCTTGACCGTTCCCTCACTCGATGGACACAAAGGCTTCTCCCACACTTGCGTTGGGATTCCTCAACAGTGTCCACGAATCCCATATTTTACCGGCAAAGTATTGTTTTGCGTGCAAGGTCAGTGATTTGTACTAGTGCGTCCGGTGGTATTTTGCAATTGCTAACCAATATGATCCTCTAGGTTTCTACATGTGCGGATGCTTCTGTTTCGGCCAACCCTCTCTAAGTACTGTGCTGTCCGGGATAATGCCACAACAGACCAATTGATCTCGACGAACGACTCCTTCCCCCACCGCGTTGCGCTGCAGTGCTCTACCATATGTGTGAAAGCAGCTCAAGAGTCTATCGAACTAATCTACAATAATGTCCCTGCTGATGGGACCGGCGGCCCCTGCCGGCTTGGTGGTATAACATTCTTTGTTCGTATAATCTTTTCACGGTGTTCTACTTCGCAATTCTGACTTATCTGACTTATCCAGACGTTTATACCTCTGCAACTGTCCTAATTGCTGGCCGTTTGTGCTCTGCAATCCTTGCCGAGGTTACAGAAAGCTCCATCACGCAATCTTGGAACTATGCACTGGAGGTTCTTCGAAAATACCAAAGTTATAGCACATCCGCTCGTCGATGTGTGGCGGCTCTTGAAATTCTCTATGAACAAGTTACCTCCGAAGGTCTGCTGCCGATCAACCACGTCGCGAGTCATGAGATAGGGACCAACGCAAGTGCAGTGAATGATATGTCCTTGGGCGAAGGAATGAATGCAGCTATCTTGGATAGCTTTGAGTTTCCTGATTTTCAAGATATGTCATGGTTAAACAGTGTTCCGAGCAACCTTTTCTAGCTACCTAAAGCTTTGGTCTTATAAGGTTTGCGGTTGATTTACACAATAAATATCCGACAATACACTCAATTATGCTTATTCAGGCAAGACTGTATGCATTGCAACGACTACCTACTAAGTACTCTTACTTAACTAGGTAGGTACAATCCAGGACACAGAGCGCCAAAGCTCAATGCAGCGAACATATGGGAAATAAAACGGTCCAAGCTATAGGCGGTTTTTCCGTGATCGAACCGTAGACCAGTCTACCGGGCATCGGGGTGGAATTCCTCGCCAATCGCGATACGCATTTCAAGCATTTCAACAATCAAGACGATGTTGCCATAGCAGAAAACAACAGCGCGGGCGCATTCTACATTCAGGATGTCTGGATACTCCGCCAGAGAATACTATGCAACGAAATCCAGGGGTTTGAGAGAATGAGAGCCTTTTCTAAATGAGCTGAGCCAGTACTTTTCATGCCGTGACTCGGTCCAGTCCTACCCCGGTGGAATGTCCCGAGGTCTCCTACAATATCAACTGTCATCTTAGGATAGACGAGCGAAGTTTCACAGCTAACAAACGTGAGGGTGAATTTTCAGTATGTTTGCACTAATTTAGTACCTTGTAGCCGGGGGGGGCGGGGGTATTTGGCAACGGATTTACGCCGAACTGGCGTTGGCCCACTATTTGCATTACCGGGAGGCCTCACTGGACTACCAGTCAATTAAAGGCCATGATTGATGCGAACCAACTCGATTCCACTGATATTCCCCATCCATCCCTTTCCAACACCCCAGAGGTATACCTAGGAACCATGGGACCTTGACCCGGAAGGCCTTTGGCATGTCTTCGGGATGTGACCCGAACCACCCGATCTCTCGGACAACAGCTGAATGTGCCGTTTAGAATATCAGGCAAAAAGATCCTTCCGTTGACGTCCAGTCTCATTTCACTCTTGACTAACTACTTTTTAGATGAAGGTATCCCTAACACTCTCGGGCGAGCAATGACCGAGCAATTTCTCCGTTCTCCGTCAAAGCCCCGCATCCCCAGACTTCCCCGTATAATCTCCCCCTTCCCCCGGTGGGGTTGATGTGGAGTGACTGTCCTTCAGACTCAGCTTAGAGGCTTTCTGTGTGATTCGTGGATTTTCAATCCATTAGCGAATCTCAAAGCCCGTGTGCAAAGAGAAATAGAACTGAAATGGAGCTGTGCTTTGCTTCCATAAACAGTCGGCTGATTCGGGGCATTGATATCCCGACATCTTGGGGTCATTTATAAAGACAGAGTTCCAATTCGTGACGATGACTTTGCCAAAGAAGACCAATTCCTAACGCCCCATATGCGCGCTTCTCTATTGGCAGCCTTCACGGCGGCTACTGCTGCCACAGCGCTACACGTCGCAGAAAACCAGACTTACATCACCCTCGCCAATGATCGCCTCACAGCTGTTCTTCGGAAGAGTGCTGGCCAGATTGTCGATCTCACTCTGGATGGTCAGGACTTATTGGGCACTCAGTCGGGATCCACTGGAATAGGGCCCTATCTTGACTGTTATTGTACCCCGTCGGGCTTCTACACCGCTGGTGCCACATCCCCGAGCATGGAGGTAGTCCAAGGGACAGATTCGACTGGAACCAAATATGGAGGTATGATTCTAAGTGACACATATACTCCAACGGGCCAGCAATTCCAGCAGTACTGGTTCCTACGCGATGGCGAGACTGGTTTGCATATGTTCAGCCGATTGGCCTACCATAATGAGACTACACCTTTCCTTCGCAACCTGCAGGAGTTCCGAACCTTGTTTCGGCCAAACACCGATCTCTGGACGCATCTGACGTCTAGCGAGATCCAGACCGCACCCCTGCCAAGCAAAGAAGCCATTTCGAAGCAGATTGTTGTTCAAGATGCAACCTGGACATTCAACAACACGCCAAGCGATGCATACTACACCCAGTTCTCTGAATACTTCACTAAATACACATTCTCAAACCGTATGGTCAATCTCCTATTGCCTTCCATTGTTGATCGATGTATTGACTAAGTCATGGTATCTTTCTAGAATGGAGAAATAACACGGTTCACGGTCTCTATGCTGACGGGAGCACCTCAAATGGGGCAACGTATGGAGCATGGCTAGTGATGAATACTAAGGTTGATCATATCACTCCAATCTCCACAAAGATTGAATCCCATCTAACAAGCTTATTTTAGGATACATATTATGGTGTAAGCGATACCGAGCATGCTGGAAGGCAGGGGCTGACATCTCTCAGGGTCCACTCCATTCTGACTTGACAGTGGACGGGATCGTTTATAACTATATCGTATCAAACCATCATGGAGAGGGCACGCCAAACATCACAAATGGATTCGATCGCACTTTTGGTCCCCAATTTTACCTTTTCAATGGCGGCAAGGGCTCGGCATCTCTCCAGGAACTGAGGTCTGAGGCAGAGGAATTAGCAAATGCTCACTGGAACGCTGCATTCTATGATTCCATTGCAAAGCATGTCATCGGATATGCTCCCTCGAGCCAGCGAGGCAGTATCAAGGGAACCGTGAAGCTTCCCAAGGGAGCCGTTCGCCCGATTGCCATTCTCACCGTCGATGGTCAATACTTCCAGGATAATAGCGCCGTCCCAGACTCATATCAGTACTGGACCGATATTAATCAAGATGGAAGCTTCAGCATCGACCGTGTTAAAGAAGGGAAATACCGCCTCACCGTTTACGCAGAGGGCATTTTTGGTGACTTTGTGCGCGACGGGGTCATCATTCGCGCAGGAAGGCAGACTTCACTGCATGATATCTGGAACCAAGAGTCGGCAGGAACTGAGGTCTGGCGAATTGGGATTCCCGACAAATCGTCAGGGGAGTTCCGACGTGGCAATGCGAGAGATCCATCCCATCCGCTCCATCCTCCCGAGTATCTTATCTATTGGGGTGCCTATGACTGGCGTGCCGATTTCCCTGGTGGTATCAACTACACTGTCGGTACTAGCGACCCTGCGACTGATCTCAACACTGCCCATTGGTCGGTCTTTGGGCCAACGGCAAAGGATTCCCACGTCGAGTATGACACCACGTACGACTGGAACATCCATTTCAAGCTCAACTCGAAGCAATTGAAGAAGCGTAAAACAGCCACATTGACCTTGCAATTAGCAGCCGCGAAGACCGCAGCAGGCAACACGGATGTGTGGAATCCCGCCGAACCATACAACAATCTGTCACTGGAAAGTTATATCAACAATCAGGCAGACCCCCCTAACTCTCACTGTGGGATTTAACCAATCAAGCAGCTGTATTGTGCGGTCTGCTGTAAGCTGCTACCAGGTTGGGTCACGAATGGAGTTCCCTGCGGATTGGTTGCATGTCGGAGACAATGTGTTGCGGTTGCATTTACCTTTCAACGCAACAGATACAGAGACTGCCATTCTTCCCGCCACCGTTTATGTGCAATACGATGCTATCCGACTAGAGCTGAAGTAATATAGCTGTGTCATGACGTGTGTAGCGCTTTCGAAAACAGCCGAATCAAACTCATATGTATTCTTCTACATTGGTCACTATGGTTAGGGTTTATTTGGAGTTTTGCCTCAATCGGTCAGTAGATAAAGCCCACCTTGTTGACTAAGGTCCATATTCACACCCAGTAAATCGAGTGGTTCAAATAGAGTCAGGGGTCGCGGCATCATGGCTGGCTCCCTTCGGCCTAAAGAGTCAAGTCTATGGAATCAAGTATCCTCCTTTGAGCGCAATTGGGAATGGTTCTGGCCGAAATATAGGACCTTTTATTCTCAATAGAAATAAATACATATGGTTAAAAGTCCCAGGAGCTGGTGACAAACGAAAGACAAATGAATGGCAAGATCCGCTCTCAAGAACAGCGATCCCACAAATTTGAGAATGCTGGCCTAACGAGATCAGATAAAAGAAGTCCATAGGTGTTGCAAGTGTACATATATGTACTTGGTACTAATATCCATGTTCAGCCCTTCCGCGCGAGACCGCCACAATTGACTGGTTCGATGGTTCTCGTTGATATTTCCATGGCGGAAAGGGGTGCACTCGATGAAATGCAATTTACAGAAGGCTGCCGAAGCTGACACAAGGGGCGGCGACACCGACGAGGTTGCCATTCTATTGAAATTAGTGAATATGTTCCTCTTCCGTCGTCTTAAGGGAGCACATACAGCCTGGGAGTTGGAGTTCTGGCAGCAGCCAACGGCCTGCTGGCAGTTCTTCTTGAGGAAGTCAGTCAAGCCAGCAGCGCCAAGGACTATAATATCGTCAGTCTCGCGCTTCAGTTCAATAGTGTAGATATATCACTTACCAGAGACGGGGATGTCAAGCTGGGTGCAGCCCTGTCCAAGGCCGAGACCGTCGCCGCCAATGACACCGAGAACATTGGAGAGGACACCAATGTTGTTCTGGCTGACACCCTCGTTCTTGTTGATCTTGTTGCAGCAAGACATCTGGGCACCGTTACCGCACTGGTTCACTGCGTGTTCGACCTCGTTGCTGGACTGGGGAGCAACGCCGGCGGCAGAGCCCGAGCCAGGCAAAGCCATAGCGGTCGCAGCGAAAAGGAAGGCAGGGACGAAGAACTTCATTTTGATTGTGTTGGAGAATGCGAAAAGCGATTGAAAGTGGGTAGATTGAGAAGGCTTGGAAGACTTTTGAAGATGAGAGAGTTGGATTATGGATAAAGAACACTGGAAATATCGTGCCTTTTATACCTTTTCTGGTCCTCAATCTTCTCTCTCGTCCTTTCTCTTCATGGCTTTGTGGCAAGAAAGACTCGGTGCACACCCACCATGCAAGCTCTTAGCACCACTGCAGGGGAAGTGGATGCCTTCGTGAATTATTGCATTCGGGCAGCAGACTAGGGCTTGGCCGATATGAGTTATCGACTCTTGACGATCCATACTCAACCATAGGTGTAAAGATGCATGAATTCGTCCAAGATTTTCCCTGCCGATCAACGGACCCTGCCGGTATGGGTATGTTCCCCAGATGCCGGTGGGACGAGATGTGCATAGGTTGCATATGGAGGTCAGGAAACCCTAAAATTGGGGGCTGCTGATTGTGATCTTCGGCATTTGGGGTGATAGTATTTGCTTCGTCTTTTTCTTTTCTTTTTTTTTCTTGGCTGAATCTGCGTGTGACGTCTCGGTTCGTCCGGGCTGTGGAGTGAGCATTTGATGAATCTGATCTATCACTTCCCATCGCGCCGATCTTCTTGCTTTTGTTAGGTAAAGTATCAGTTTGATGTTCCATTTCCCAGTTTTGTGTTTAAGCATTGGACGCCTCGATTTAGAATCGTTGGTCCCCAATTTGAAATCGATAGTCGCATGGGTTGGCGTAGGAACCTCCTGCGTCGTGCCTGCATCGTGCATGACGCACCCCTGTCAGCCACCAACATCCACCTCATCTCTATCCCCAGGTCGGTATGTTCAATCAGAATCACGATTGAGTGATACTCTCAATACACATTGCAGAAAACCTAAGCCGTAAAACCCCTGTCCAAAGTCGTCACATATGTTGTACAAGTGTACGGGCAAGATATTCTATCCGTGCCGATCTAACCAAGGAAATATCAAGTTGTACTCCGTAATCTCATAAATATCTACACATTCCATCAGTATATGCATGATGTCGTATACTCATCACATAAGTTCCCGTACAGCCCCTTGCCTACCACGTAAATGACTCCTCCACGAATTCAATAGAGCGGTGGCCTTGGCACATCGCTAGATGTGTCGCGGCGCGTGCTTCATCTGCCATTCTTGGTGGGCCACATACCAGGATGGCAAGACTAGTACCAGCTGAGCATGCATCGCAGGCCCGACTCATGATCAGGGATTGAAGGTGAGGTCGACCTGACTGGATCTCGAATCCAAAGCCGGGAGGATCTTCAGAGTATGTCGTGGAATCACGCGTAGCGTAGAATGAGGCACTAAAGTCCTCTCGTTTGAGGGCGTGCTTCAGCTCCCGCCGCGCGACATCTTGAATGAAGGCCGCTTGTTTAGTGGTCCAAACAAACTCCATGTCTCTCACCCGTGTTTTCTCATTCTCGGAGCTTGCATCCCAGTCTTCAACCGACCGGCGGATGTGATCTTGAATGTAAGGCACAGCCGACGCTATCCCCGTTCCACCAACAATGATCAAGACTGATTCATACCTCCACAGTGGAAAGGTTTCTCCATAAGGGCCCTCAAGAAGAATGGTTGTTTCGCTTGTCTTATCTGGTGAGCTCAGACATTTCCGGCGCAACTGTTTGGTCCAACCGTCATACGGGCGAACCCAGAAAGTCAATTTCAACTTCAAAGATTCCTCCTGGCCCGAAGAGCCATTTTCTGAATTGCATTGGTAATCTCGGTCGGAGGCACCGCCTGCAAGAAGCGGTACATGCGAAACATCAAGCGATTTGATCCTTCTGTCGGATGTCGGTACCAACGATGTCTGGTCCCCTATTTCGTAAGACCAAGCTCCAATTGTAAAAGGATGGCTCTCCCAGCCGGTGAGCCGAAATGGTTGGTATAAAAAGTAGTACTGTCCTGGTGAAGGTTGTAGCGAAGGCGTTCCTGGTGTGATCTCCAACCGCACCACGTCGGCCATTTCGTCGTAAACCATGCGGCTCACAGAAACCTTCACAAGTCTTCTGCTTGAAAGACTCACGTGAATGTTGCAGTAACACAATCGCACAATTCGAAGGAAGCGATCAATGACCCATAAAGCTAGTGTGGGCCACAGGTACTTCCAGTATTCGTTCCCTTCAAATATGACTGTGTGGCTGCCAATTGTTAGAAAGATATGCGGAAATTTGATCAGGCTGAAGTACTTACTAAAAGCAGCCGACAAGAGTGAGAATCGAAAGCACGATATGAGCAATCAAGAAGAGCTCATATGTCGCAATGCGAATCCGATCCAACGACGTGATCAACAGCAGAATCATCACGAATGTGCCCTAATATTTATTGCATGAGCACTAGCTTATCGATCGACTTGGGATCAGCCAAATTAGCAGCTTACCAAAATACCCCATAGAACATAGGTCTTGGACAGACCCCTCCAAGCTTTGCCCGCTGCGATGTTGCAACAACCGTCAGTATTCTAGCCTGCATTAGAAAACAGGTGCTCAACACTTACTTTGAATGAACATGACGACGTAAAGGATAGAGTGCACTACTGCCTGTACAGTAGCCACCCGGGCTACATGACGATGGAATATATTGAACGATGCAAAACTCCATCCAGTGGCCCACAGGAAAATATTATTTCGCCCCCAAAAAGCCATAAAAGGGGCAAGTTCGCAAATGACATAATCCCAGTACGGTCTGCAGAATAACGCAGAATCTGGCTTGGGACATCGGGATAACTTGAGTTTCTGTCAATATTGTGCACGTTGTCAATCCCACACGCTCGGTACGTACTAGATGTTTCCGGGAAAAGTGCGATAGCCCACGACACTCAATACGATGCTGATTGTCCAGAATCCCACTACTATAAGCGCCTCAACTCTGGTGGAGAATGTGAAGCCTAGCAGATGTCGACCATGTGTTGTTGCCAAAGGCGCTGGCATCATCAGATGAGTCTGGATCCAGTGAAGCCCTGTCCCTATCAACGGGATGTTTTCCAAGAACTTTATGAGAGGATACACATTGGATTCGAGCGCACGCTCTGCACGACGTTGTCGGCGGTGGAATAACCAATCGCACAAGCGATAAGCCATCCCTAGTGACAGGATGCCACCCCAATATACGTAGCCAATATACCTAATTAGTCAACACATGAATGTTTTGCTCTCCAGCTTGCACAGACTTACCCAAATGCATGATGCGACCAAGTTTCAAATTCCCAAGATTCCTAGGACGTTGATAAGCTTTAAGGCTACTAGATCCCAAGACGGTGGGAATGGTCTCACAATAGTATTGAACATTAGACCAAAGTAAGACGCAGAAAGAAGGACAGGCGTATCCGCTGGCTCGCTTCGGGACAACTCTTGATAGTCAACAGTTTTCATATTCTTTATGGCATCCTCTGTCAGGTTTTCGGCGACGGCTTCTCTCGGCAGCAGCTCAAGGTTTCCAAATTCTTGACACTGGTCAGCCAGCTGGGTCAGGCCTATCCTCCGTTCCTGCTCATTGCAATATATCTCGGATGCGGCGTATATCGATGCGACTTTGAGCGGATTCCGGCATTGCGATTCCCAAACGTCTTTGCCCTTTGTGGGAAGGCCAACGAATGATATGTAGTTGTATGCCGAGCAAACAGCCGTCACACACCGCTCGTCCTCGTGGTTGGCCCAGACACCCTGGGCGAGTGCGATTACCAGCCAACGGAGCAACATGGTGAGCCCCCAGATTGCAGGCCGGTCTGCGGGTGGGCGAAGAAACGGTTGAAGGCGAAAGGCGGAGCACCGGCAGTAGGCCGATAATCGCACTGATCAGGTGGGCCCATGTGGATCAGCGAAGTCTCTGAACCGTTGGATCTCGGACAAAATTTCCTAAGGAATGGAATCAGAAGAAGAGCCAAGTTGGATTCTGACACAAAATTCGAAGAGGGCTTGAAAGAAAAGAAGAAAGAAAGAAAGAAAGAAAGAAAGGAGAACCAGCTTGATGGGGGACTCAGAATCCATCCGGGAAATCATTCGTCTTATCTGATCTGATTGATTAGACAACACGTGACACCATTTTTGGCTTAGGTAGCTCACACTTCAAGTGCACCACCGTATATTTACTACTCGTAGTCGAGTACTCCGTAAATGTATGTAAATTACTTTGAAACAGAATTAGATACAGGCTTAGGGAATGTGGGCGTTATCCTTTTCCGTTGTGGTAGACGTCTATATCCCATATCCTTGTGATATATATACGAGAGCCTACAATGCATTTCAACACCAGCAAAATTTTCTCTATTGAGCTATTTGTAGCCATACTCCCTAATTATTAATCTACATACCTACGCCCTAGGCCCCAAAAAAGTATTTTCCTTTTCTCTTTTCTTCCTTAAACAAAATTTGACTGTGAAAACTGACCATGTGACCTACCACATTAAGTCCTGACACCCAAGGCATAAAATAATGCTGGCAGAACATTGGGCGGTCAATGATGATGTCACGAGACTTTTTCCCCAAAGGTATCCGGTGAAATTCAGTAGACGTAAACCTGAGCAACTTCAACTGGTCACCGTAATGGGAGGAGGCAACCGAATTCCACCAATGAATAGCCAGAAGGTGGCATCTGATCCGGGCCAGAATTTATACCTCCATGCGGTGGTCGATTTGGGCAGGTAGGCAGACCAAATACACTTCGTTACCCCTCTAATGTGGCCGGGTGAGGACTCTTCACTGACTTAGGATATTACAGTAATGGCATCCGTTGTTCGATCTCGGACCTCTCCCACCCAACCACCCGTGTCATCCCTACTGTACATTATCACCGGGTCAACATCTCGCTCTACGAGGCTCAAGTGGATCCCGACTCAGGCAGCCGAATCCCCATTCCGCAGCATGTCATCGACCGAATCGTTAGTGCCATAGTTCGTTTCCAGATTGTCTGCGTGGAGATTGGAGTTCCCGCTCAGAACATTCGGATCATCGCTACGGAAGCAACTCGAACTGCTATCAATGCTTCTGCGTTCATGGACGCCATCCGCCATGAAACCGGGATTTCGGTGGAAGCATTACGAAAGGAGGAGGAGGGAGTTATCGGGGCATGGGGCATTGCCAGCAGCGTTTCAGACGTGGAGGGACTTGCGCTTGATTTGGGGGGTGGTAGCATGCAGATGACTTGGATCACATCGCACGCGGGCAACGTGCATATGAGTTCCCAAGGATCGGTCAGCTTTCCGTACGGAGCAGCTGCGTTGACCCAGAAACTCGCAGACCTCGAACGGGGCAAAAGCAAAGAGGAAGCGCACAAAGCTCGGGAGCAATTTCGCGGGGAAATGGCGGGCAACTTTCGCGCCGCTTTTGATACCCTCAATGTCCCTGAACAGCTCGTTCAAAGAGCCCGAGAGCAAGGGGGGATTTCCTCTTTACCTCTCAGGGGGAGGATTTCGGGGATGGGGCTATCTTCTGTTATATCTGCACCAGACCAAAGGCCAAAGTTACCCTATTTCGATTATTAATGGATATACCGCACCTAAGAAAGACTTCGAGGATACCGAGGCTCTCAAAGAGGTGGCTCGGACGGCACACGAAATCTTTCGTGTCTCAGACCGGCGACGCAAGCAAGTGCCCTCGGTGGCGTTCTTAGTCAAGACCCTGGCTGAATCATTACCGCATGGAATCAAAGAAGCCCATTTCTGCCAAGGTGGAGTACGGGAAGGAGTGCTGTTCCGTGAGATGCTCCCGGTTGTCCGCCAGCAGGATCCCTTGGAGGTTGCCACGGCCCGTTATGCGCCCTCGTCGGCCGAGGCACTGGCCGCTTTATTGTTGGCGGCCCTCCCTCGACCATCTGCTAGCCGATCGTTCCCGTCTTCCATCAGCCTTCACCTTGTCCAGGCCTTTGCCAATGCCCTTTATTATCACGCCACAATGTCCAAAGAACTCTCCTCTAGTGCCGCACTATATAGCACTAGCACTGGGATCCTAGCCTCCACACATGGTATTCCACATGACCACCGTGCTCTCCTGGCACTAATGCTCCAGGAGCGTTACGGCGGAGAATTGCCACCCAGAGACGTGGAATTTAAGACCCACCTCCAGGCAATCTTGACACGAGAGGAGGTTTGGTGGACGCGGTATCTTGGCAAACTAGGCTTCGTCCTCGGCCAACTGTACCCAACCGGTTCTATCGATACCTCCAAGCCTCGAATTATCCCCTCGGCACAATGGAAGAATGGGTTAGGGAAGAAGGGCAAGAAAGAAGGCCTGGATTTGACAATCTCTATTCAAAAAGTTGCATATGACCCGTCTCACTTGAGGCAAGAGCTCGAAAAATGATGTGCAGAAAATCGAGAAGGTGGGAAAGCGGAAGAATTGGATTGGTGGAAGAAATGGCTGGGGCATCAAAGTGCGTGTCTCAGTGATAGAAGAGGATTTAGTGGCTCGGTGAGTGGAGAATGGCCGTGAAGTTGGCCCAGTATGTCTGTGATCATCGAATTATGCCAGTCCGTATGGCCCTACCATACACAAGGAGAATATGCCGGGTTCCAAATGAATCCCGGTTGATCAGATCCATCATGATTCCGCGATGCACCCGTGGCCTTCCCTTATCCTCAACCTGGTCATGCAGACGATATTATGGGTCTCTGCAAAGCTTCAGGACACTTTGAATATGCCTAGGTAATTTCTACCACTAACATCGACCTAGGTAGGTCCATGTATATTGAAGCATAAACACAAAACAAACAAACTTCTAGGCAACCACGAAAACAGAAAAGAAATAAACCAAAATGGACCTTGGGGAGTCTGATAATCCAATGATCCGATACTATGCTAGACCCACATAAAGAATGAAGCTTCCAAGGTTGGTAGCCCTATAGGGCTGAGAACCCTGGAGCCTTCCAAGGTTGACAAGCATTTTTCTACGGATTCGCAGATTCAGCTGCATCCGAATAACACCTTCTTTCTCTTATCTGATCCTTTTTATCTGATCTTTCTTTCTATTCCTTTTTCCTTCATGCATCATGGAAGTCAACAAACACATTAATCTGGAGAAATCCATTCGTGAAAAGGAAGTCCACGATGGAAACAATACTGATTCGGGTAAGTCATTGCCTTTTTCTACGCCCTTTCTTTCTTTCTTTCTTTCTTTCTTTCTTTCTTTTTCTTTTTTTTTTTTTTTTACCTCTCGAAATCCTCACATAACTACAGATGCAGATTCACAGACTGAAGTATTGCGGGCTGCTGGTATAGGCATAGCAAAAGATGATCCTACTGAGCCAGTTCTCACTCTCCGTATGTGGGTGCTTGGAATTGCCTTTTGCGTGGTCGTTAGCGGGTTGAACACGCTTTACACCCTCCGTGCCCCTTCTTTGACAATTTCAGGTTCGGTGGTACTCTTTTTGGCCTATCCCCTAGGAAAGCTTTGGGAGAAAGTAATCCCAAACTGGAAGCTTCCGCTAGGAAGATTGGCATTCAATCTCAACCCGGGCCCCTTTAATACGAAGGTAAGTCCTTTAGGAAAGAAAGGTTACAGGGATCAATCTAACAAAGATTCTACAGGAACACGTTTTGATCTATATAATGTCTAACCTTAGTATTTACGTCCGTCTTGGCGCCGACGTTCTGACAGAGCAGCAAATGTTCTACGGCTACAAGGCAGGATGGGGATTCCAAATTCTCATTACTTTCTCCACATTTCTCATCGGGTTCTGTCTTGCTGGGCTATTCCGGGCCATTGTAGTAGTTCCCCAAGAGCTGATCTGGCCTGGAGTTCTGGGTGTTACTGCGTTGACCACAACCCTACACCATGTCAGCCAGGAACAGGTGCAAGAGCGGTAAGGTATCTGGAATTGCTGTACCAGTGCAATGGAACTGATGGATGGCAGTTACAATACGTGGAAAATGTCTCGCTATGCCTTCTTCACTATGACATTTTGCATCTCGTTTTGCTGGTATTGGTTCCCGGATTTCATCTTCCCGGCGCTTAGCTATTTCAGCTTTCCGTGTTGGATCAACCCTGAGAGCAAAGTAGTCAATCAGATATTCGGAATGAGGTCTGGAATGGGACTGTTGCCGATTACCTTTGATTGTGAGTGACATGACTTCGCAACTCAACCGACGTGCTAACGGGGACCATAGGGAGCCAAATGTCTTACGTTGGGTCTCCTTTGCTCATCCCCTCGTGGGCAGTTCTCAACGTCTTCATTTCCCTGGTGTTCTGGATTTGGATTGTGGCTGTTGCTTGTTACTATACCAATGTGTGGAACACGGGCTACCTACCTTTCCAAAGTTCTCAAGGTACAACCCATGCATTCAAGCTCTCGGGGCCACCAAATCTGACTTGTGCACACAGTATTCGACAATACTGGAAATACTTACAAAGTCAGAAAGATTGTCAATGCCGCTTCAGGCTATCAGCTCGATCTTAAGAAGTACCTTGCTTACTCTCCGGTATTTTTGCATGTTCTATAAAGTCAAAAACTTGAAACCCATCTAACCTCAAGGGCAAAATAGGTCTATATGCCAGTTACCTACGCGTTGAATATGTTTGGGCTATCATTTGCCACTCTGAGCGCTCTTCTTGTTTGGGTTATACTTGAAAGGCGTCATGTCATGGCTGATGCAGCCAAAAGGGTGCCTCGACTGGTCACGGAGTCCCTTCCCGGTCGCTCCGGAGAGTACAGCGAGGACGAGAGAGGAGACCCGGATGTGCCCTTGTGGTGGTATTCGGTTGCATGCATCTTAGCCTTATTCATGTCCATGTTCGCCGTTGAGTGGTGGAATGTTGAACTGAGATGGTACGGTGTTTTGCTGGCGTGTGCTGTGGCATTGATCTTCTATCCTCCGGTGAGTCTGCCCTCTACCGATTTGCATATCTGACGCGTCTCCCTGACTAATATTAGTTGGCTTTGGTCTACGCCACTTCTAACCTCAAGATCAACATCGATATTTTCTGCCGTATTGTGGCTGGTTTCGTCTTTGAGGGCAAGGTCCTGGCTAATATCTGGTTCTTTGACATCGGATACATCACGACCATCAAGGGTCTTTACTTTGCCCAGGATATGAAACTGGCGTATTATTGCCATGCAAGCGCTCTCTTTTCCTAGTTTGGTTGAACCATGCTGATACCCCGAAGATCCCTCAACGAAAATTGTTCTTGGTTCAATGCGTTGGAATGCTTGTCGGGACGCTCTCCTCGCTCGGTGTCCTCAATTGGGCCCTGGATCACATCACCGGAATCTGCACTAGCGCTGCTGTTAATGGTTTCAGTTGCCCTTACAGCAGCACCCACTTCAATACTTCTCTGATCTGGGGTGCGGTGGGCCCTCGTCGCTATTTCTCGAACCAAATTGGTTATTCCGCTTTGCTTTACTTCTTCGTCCTTGGTGCCATTTTACCCATTCCTGTCTATTATATGACCCGCCGATACCCCAAGTCGCTGTGGAGAAGGGTTCATGTCCCGCTATTTCTTGGGGGGGCTGAATTACCTGCCCCCTGCGACTGGGATGAATTACGGCAGTTGGGCAGTTGTCGGTCTCACTTTTGGCTGGCTAGTTCGAAAGCGTCTGCATAGCTGGTGGAGCAAATATAACTTTGTGCTCAGCTCTGCCATGGACTCATCTGTGGGAATTGCTGGTGCGATGATTTTCTTCGCAATTTATTTCACTGGCGCCAGCAAACATTTCGACTGGTGGGGAACAGAGATTCACAAGGTGTGTGTAAATCCCTTGCGTTTTATCACTCCCACTGACTATTAACAGAACACCTGCGATTGGAAAGGCTGCGCACATCTTTCTATACCGAAGGGCGGAGAATTCACCATATAGAATCCCATGTACTAATGTGCCATCTACCTGAGATGCATCCGTGTCTTTTGGCCGGTGTTTGGATTCAGAACATGCCAAGTATGGGTGCTTTTTACGCCTGATTGTATGGGGAATCTGTGTTTGTTGGGAAGCAGTGATAAGACCAGTCCACTCTTAACAGCGGGACAGCCGCAAGAATGAAGCTATTACGATACTAATAAAGCAACTATTGCGTAGTTAGGGATATTTAAATGTAGATAAAGGCCTAGACCTCTACCCCTTCCATCAATTAACATCGCGCCCTAGAAATAAAGATAGAAACTTGACTAGAACTTGCATATATACATCCCTGGCATTCAGCCCTAGTGGATTAGATGACATATTTCACGATGGCGTTTCCATGCCCAATGCATATGTACATAGTACATGCATACATACATAGCCACGGCCTTCCAATCCATCCATTCCGGCTCCTTGTAATATTATTCATAGTGATATTGGTATTTTCGGTATTTGTGGTATTCTTTAAGTGGGTCCAATACGAAGGCGCCGATGTCGGGAATGATTGATTAGATCAGCCCGATTGATTAGATTTCCAACCTTGGAAGGTTGGAAGGTAAAGTTGCACATTCGCACAATGGCGAATGGCAGCTGGGATGATTTATTTCTCTACGTGACTCTCAATCCGAACACTGACCTACATACGTGTATCAAGTCTTCTAGGGCTGTAGTACCTGACCAAGACGATCCAGGTGGCCCACTGACTGTTTCTCGAAAAGCGAAGACTAGTTTCGGAATGACAAAACCTGCCAAGGGCCAGTGCCACGATTATTCAGGCCAACCCGGAAGTCTGGCCCGAGCTGGTAGGGAATTTACTGGGATCGTACTCCGTAAATGGGCGACTGATTGATAAACCCCCGATATCAGATTCTGCACATAAGTTATCTGATCCTGGGTGGGGTCAGTGCCACGAGGATATTTTTTTTTTTTCCCCTTTTTTCTTCAATGCCGATTGTGACCAATGACCATGCTACAGTGACGGAAAACCTCCCGATGCCCAGTGAGATGACCAAGAGAATTATACATCCGATTAATATGTTGTATAGACGTCTTGCTAGAAGGTTCATGTTGTAGGTATCTCATATTATTCCCAGACATCCGCAATTTCCGGTATCAGTCCACCCTAACACAATTGTCATAAAATAGATTCTCACTCAAGGCTTAGCCCAGAGTTTTGTGACGTATGATATGTCATACAGGAAACTTTTTTTTTCAAATGTACCTTGCATATCTGTTCGTAGATGCTGCAGAGTACTCCCGAGGTCCATACATGTATGCAGGAACTGACATGGGATGTACTCCGTATACATCGAAAACCTTGAAAGACAATTACCGAGCTTGCGTATCCTGCCAAGATTCCAAGGTTCGCTTGAAGCCTAAGTGGAGACTTGTACGACGCCAAGATCGAGCACCAGCCAAGCACAAAAGCCAAAAACGCGCGAAAATTACCTAGGTACCTACCAATACAAAACCTCCGATGTGGAAATCTGATGGAATTAATTGAATTTACCTAGTCTTGTGCGGAATTTGTCGCGGTATTGTCGGCTACATCTATAAACCCGCCCTGTCCAAGGTTTTTTTTTTTCTTTCATTCTTCTCAACTTCCATCTACCATGGCAGCCCCAAGAAGTGTACAGCGCTTGCAGCAGACGTTGTCGCACGTACAGCCTCCTATTAGTCCACAGCTATCTCTTGTCGCAGGCCCGACGGAGCCACAGCTGCTGGATATTACCTTGGGTGAGCTGCTAACACTACAAGCACTGCAGTATGGGAGAATTGAGTGCTTGGTCTTCCCCTGGACTGGTGCGCGATGGACGTATGGCCAGCTGAAAGATGAGACCGATCGTCTCAGCTAGGGGAATGTTGGCTTCGGGTATTCAAAAAGGCGACCGCGTCGGAATCATGGCGGGCAATTGTGAACAATACATCTCGGTGTTCTTCGCGGCCGCACGAGTTGGGGCTATTTTGGTTGTTTTGAACAACACGTACACCCCTCCGAGCTGTATTACGCCCTAAATCACAGCGGTGGGTGATATCCACTTCCCATATTTATTGGCTCCATACTAATCTCGTTTTGTTCTATTTTCATTCAGAATGCCGAATGCTTTTCATGACACCACGAATTGGACGTCATAATCTCGAGGAGGTCCTTACCCAACTTGGCCCTAATCCTAAAAAAGCGGCGACCTCGGAATCATTGGAGGAAATTGTCATTCTCCGCGAAAGCTATAACAACTTCCCCACCTATCACGATGTCATGGAACGCGGCCTGTCCCAGGCTGCACATGTGCTCCAGGACCGCGAGGCCGAGCTACAGCCGGATGATGTCTGCAATCTGCAATTCACAAGCGGTTCAACAGGCAATCCTAAAGCTGCAATGTTGACACATCAGTATGTGGACCATGTACGACAAATTTAATCTTAAAACTATAGCTAACTTCTCCGCAGCAACTTGGTTAACAACTCCCGTTTCATTGGTGATCGCATGAATCTCACCTCTTTTGATGTTTTGTGCTGCCCGCCGCCATTGTTCCACTGCTTCGGGCTGGTCCTGGGCATGCTTGCGGTGGTCACCCATGGCGCCAAGATTGTCTTCCCCAGCGAAACCTTCGACCCCAAGGCGGTTTTGCATGCCATCTCCGATGAGAAGTGCACTGCTCTACACGGTGTTCCAACCATGTTTGAGGCGATCCTTTCCGTTCCCAAGCCCTCGAACTTTAATACCTCAAACCTCCGCACAGGCATCATTGCCGGGGCCCCAGTCCCACGGCCACTGATGAAGCGGCTATTTGCAGAATTGAATATGACCGAATACACTAGTAGCTATGGTACAGTCCCTTCCCCCCTTGGTCTGCTGATCAAGTGCTAACCCAAGCCTCTAGGTCTCACGGAGGCCTCGCCCACTTGCTTCAATGCTTTCACCACCGACAGCATCCACACAAGATTGACGACCGTCGGAAAGGTTCTGCCCCACGCTCGCGCGAAGATTATCGATACCCAGGGGAACATTGTTCCCGTTGGTCAGCGTGGCGAGCTTTGCATGGCCGGCTACCAGCTCACCAAGGGATACTGGAATAACCCGGAGAAGACGGCAGAGACATTCATAACCGATGCCGAGGGTGTCAAATGGCTGAAGACTGGTGACGAAGCTTCCTTTAACGCCGAAGGGTACTGCACTATCACCGGTCGCTTCAAAGATATTATCATACGTGGTAAGTTCGAACAGCCGGACATTGATAGCGATTTCTAATTCTGAGTTCTGATAGGCGGCGAAAACATTTATCCTCTCGAGATCGAAGAACGATTGGCCGCACATCCCTCGATTGAGTTAGCATCTGTGATTGGTATTGCCGACCCCAAATACGGCGAGGTTGTTGGAGCCTTTATCGCGATCGCTTCGGGAGCAGAACGTCCGACCGACGATGAACTGCGCACATGGACTCGGGAGACTTTGGGTCGGCACAAAGCCCCGCAGTATGTGTTTGTATTCGGAGAAGAGGGGGCTTCGAGCACGGTTCCCGTGACGGGAAGCGGCAAAGTTCGCAAGGTGGAGTTACGGCAAATGGCGATGGCGGTGCTGGCCGAACGCCAGAAGGCATGAACCAAAAAAAAAAGGAGAAAAGGAGCACAGATTGCACAGTCCTCGAGTTGAGTTAGTATAGAGACTAGATTTGTAGTAATACCCAATCCATTGACAAACTACATATGTACGGAGTAACTTGTGCAAAATAATAATAAAACCCCAAAAAGTCTGCTGAAATAAAAATAAATGATGTATGTAATTAAATGAGGGGCGTATCTTATCAGATCTTATTATTATTGGTCCAAATTCAACTGTAACGTCAGGAACATTACGAAATGCGCTATTTTTCTTTTTCTTTTTTCGTTCGAGCCCAGAATCAGATTAGATACCCATCTTGTCTGATCGATGATCATTGTCACTTTGGGGCTGTATCGTACCGTACGATGTACTTTACGGAGTACAGTCTTCGGGTCCAACCGTGAACGAATTTCTATTTAGTAACTTGAAGGCATTCCTCTGGGGCTCCCTTCTATTCGCTGATGTATGTTAAACCCCCAAAAGGAGACTTAATGGATTCACATAAAGTATTCAGAGTGTTCTCAGCCACCATATCGGTTCTGCCAAAAAGAAATTTGGCGTACAACTGAAGTTTCTATGTGTGCCGGAAAGACTCGCACAAAGTACCTATGGAGTACGGAGTAATCGGCATTGAGTTCATGTCAATACAACCGAGGGATCCATGGATGTTTCACCCGTGGACATTCCAAGGTTTCCAACGGATCTGATAATCTGTGCCAAGCACCTTGGGAGAAGCCAAGAAAGTAACCATGGATACAATGTGTTGTATACCCTACCTAGGTAGGTAGGTATTGTATATCCGATGTCGCTTTCAATCTGATAAGATCCGGACCCGCATAATCCGTTGATGTGACGATATGTTTTTTATTTTCATTCGAGTCCAGAGCTCAGTTCCTTGGCCTTTTTTTTTTCTCCCTAGGTTTCTTTTCTTCATTCTCCTTTTCCACTCTCCTTCTCTTTCTTCGGTTATTGCTCGTGTCACACATAGCTCTCCTTCTCAACCCATAATGCCCTCCAATGACTTTGTCCGAACTGTATCCCGCAACTTCCGAGTACTTGTGATCGGGGGCTCTTATGGTGGTCTATCTGCTGCGTTGGCCCTCATCGATCTTTCACAGGGTCGCCTCCCGCGTTTCAACTGCAATCCTGATGCCAAAGCTCCGCCTCATCGCGTTCCGATACAGATAACCGTAGTTGATAAGCGAGATGGCTATTGTAAGCTCCCCAGAATATCAACCATTCATTCACCATCACACTCTCGCTCACATGTATAGTTCATCTAATAGGATCTCCAAAGGCCCTAGCCTGCGAGAAATTCGCGTCCGAGGCATGGACTCGTTTCCAAGATATTCCCGGGCTCAAGTCTCCAGATCTCAGCTTTATCCAGGGAAGCGTCAGTTCGGTTGATTTCAGTGCCAAAGTTGCCCATATTGTCGATGCAGACACCAACAACAACCGCACAGAGCCCTATGACTACTTGATTGCAGGCTCAGGGCTGCGTCGGTCTTTCCCCACTGTTCCCCAATCCTTGCGGCGAGATGAGTTCCTCAAAGAAGCCAGAGAACATATGACGAATGTGAAGCAAGCCCGTGATGGCATCGTAGTTGTCGGTGGAGGTATGTCTTCTCCATCACTATCTGCTACTTTCACCCCGCTAACGTCCCTCTTTCATGAATAGGCGCTGTGGGCGTGGAGATGGCTGCCGAATTGAAGATCCTTAACCCAGCACAAAAGGTCACCCTGATCCACTCACGCAAGCGCTTGTTATCTTCGGAGCCGTTGCCCGATGGCTTTGCCGAGCGCGTAGTTTCTATATTGCGTGATACAGGAGTGGAGGTCATCCTAGGACAACGCGTTATCGATACCACCGCTGTGGAGACGAAAAATGAGACAAGGGTCTGGAATCTCACGCTCAGCGATGGCCAACAACTCAAAACTGGCCATGTTCTAAATGCCGTCTCTCAAAGCGTTCCAACATCAACATATCTGCCGAAAGAGGCCTTAAATGAGGAGGGATACATCAAAGTGCACCGCTCGTAAGGCTGTCTCCCCAAAGTTACTCACAGAATATTTCTAATGTTATTGCAGACTACAATTCTCCGGTGCTATCCCTAACGCAGAGCATCATTGGGCAGTGGGAGACCTCACTGCGTGGGAAGGTATCAAGCGCTGTGGTGGTGCAATGCATATGGGCCATCACGCGGCGATCAATATCCATCAGCACATGATGGCCCAGTGCATAGGCGGAAAGCCAGACTACCAGACCCTGCAAACCGTTCCCATCTGTGATGGGCCTGGCTCTCGGTAAAACGGCTGTTAGTTATATCCCTAGCGAGGGCACCCGCGAGGGCGAAGACCTAATGAAGAGCTTGTTTGGCAAAGACATGGGACATACCAGTGCGTCTTTATCATCAGGAATTTTTGAATTGAAAAGCTGACCCGAATTGTAGTTTGTTGGAACTATATGCGCCTCGGTGAGGCATGCTAGACGTGGCCGAGTAGATCTGGGAGTGGGGACCTGGGAGTTGAGATTCATTACATTTGTATATCATATGTATATTATAATTCCCCCGAGCATTCCAGCGGTATTTCTATAACTTTACAAATCATCTCTATAGTCTTAGTCAAATTCCTGTTTTGCTTAGAAATCCGGTTCCACTTGATTCCCCCACGTTCGTTGGCTTCATATAAAACAACCCCTTCATTTTACCATTGTAGGCAAAAGCATATCTCACCTCATTCATATCCACAATGGCACCATTCGGCACTATCTACTCTTATCAGCCCAGTCCTCGGGTCATGAAGGTAAAAAGAAAAGCACGCGAATGGGACCCAGAACCCTGAGCTAACCCCCTATAGGCCCAGGCTGCGGCCAACCTGAACGGCCTGGAGTTGGCGGTTCCGGAATTCGCCATGGGAAAGACAAACCGCACCCCGGACTTCCTGTCTAAGTTCCCTTTGGGTAAGGTGCCCGCCTTTGAGGCTGCCGATGGAACAACCCTGTTCGAGTCGGACGCCATCACCCAATACATTGCCGAGAGCGGCCCGGCCGCCGATCAGCTCATTGGAGCCACCCCGGCCGAGCGCGCCACCATCCGGCAGTGGATCTGCTTTGCACAGGGCGAGATTTTGGACCCTGTGACGGAGTTGGCGCTGTGGCGTCTCGGTATCCGCCCCTACGATGAGAAAGTCGAGGAGACCAACATCGCGCGTCTGGAACGCTCGCTGGGATGTCTCGAGACTCACCTCAAGGACCGCACTTGGTTCGTGGGCAACGAAAAGCTCAGCTTGGCTGATATTACTGTTGCCTCGGCCCTGGTCTGGGGTTTCTCCATGGCCATCGATGCTGAGATGCGCCCAAAGTTCCCCTCTGTGGTCGCCTGGTACGAGCGCATCCTCGAGGCCGAGGGCGTCAAGGAGGCCTTTGGTGAGAAGAAATACATCGAGAAGCGTCAGGGTCCCCAAGCTTGAGGCTTGACATGATAGAAAGTAAAATAGCATTAGCACCCGATCAAAGAATTATGATATTATATTCGGCTTCACGAAGCACTTGGATTATATAAAACGAAGGAACCTACGGGATCATGCTAGGCATATCATAACATATAAACAACTGACTCTCAAGCGGTCGGGCCAGTACATATTGACAAGAACTGAAGAGATATTCCCACGGAAGGCATCCCGTCACAGACGAGCCATCACGCTGCCCTCGCCTCGTACCGTCCCCATCGCCCGCGCGAGGTTTCGGCTGGCCCAATCGGCGATCGCCATGTTGGTGACCATAGGGTTCACACCGCTAGCGCTAGGGAACACCGACGCATCCACGACATACAAACCGTCAGTACCCCAGACTTGACAATTCGGGTCCACCACACCTAATTTGGGTGACTTGCTCATACGGCAGGTACCCATCTGGTGTGCACTGGCAAACAAACCACGCCCCGGGTTCAAAGGGGACTTCCGACGAAGCTCGTCAATCCAATTCTGCAAGGCCGCGTCGTTGATGCCGTCAGGAGCCTCGGGGTCTGAAGCCTCTGGCCGGATGAACGGGGGAAGGTCGCGGTAAACGGTATGGAACTCTGTGGCGCCGGTGATGTACGCAATCTTGGCGCAAGCAATCATGGCCTCCACGATGTGTTTTCGGTCAAAGGCAGAGACCGTGTAGTCAATCCGGCACCGTCCATCAACAGGATCTGGGTAAACACGACCAGTATCGCGGTCTTTGGTCAAGGTAATGAAGCTCGTGCTGCGGCGCATCTTGGCCGCCCACAGCTTGTACTCCAATGAGTCTCGCCAGGGGAAGATGGGAATGAACACGGAGGGCATCATTGAAACAGACTCAATCTTCACACCATGTCCATTTCCATCGAGGTCTTCAAACTCGTTGACAACCGTTGTCAGTGCAGAGCCTTCCCAGGGGTGAGTCTCCTCATTAAAGACAGCACCAGCTCCCATAACTATGTAATAAACAGTAAGTGTCTGTGATTTGGGTTATTGGGGGCGGGGGCGGGGAGTGAAGAGTACTTACCTGGGTGAAGGTAAAGGTTTCGGCCAATCTGGGGGTTGTTCAAACCACTACGCAACAGCAGAAGAGGGCTTTGCAATGTACCGGCCGATATAACTACTTTCTTGGCCTTAATAATCACCTTACGCTCCACCGCCGCAATACCACCGAGGCCCAAGTGTGAATCCCGCGACTTCCAGGTTCCCTGCACGCCAGAAGCAACCTTTCTGCCGTTGACATAGGTGAATAGCACCTTCTCGGCACAGAATCCTTCCATGAAGCTCGCGCCGGCCTGGGCAGCGTCCACAAGGAATGACTCCGTCGGACCTTTCTTCCCACCCGAGGCACATCCTAACGTGCAATACCCACAGTAGTGCTCCCCGTCCCCAGTGTTTTGGGGAACTGTTTTGGCAGCGTAGCCCAGCTTCCTGGCGCCTTCAAGAATCACCCTATTCTGATGGTTATGCTCAACGTGCTCCTCGTTAACACCCATGCGATCGCAGACGCGGTCCAGGCTTTTCTGGAAGTCTAGGGAGGTGAAGAAAGGCAGCCCAGTATCCGCCCATTCCTGTCGGACATACCCCTGGGTCTGTAGAGATGCTGACCAGTTAACGGTACCACCACCGCCCCATGTTGAGCCCGCTAGGACTGCCATCGAACCATCGTCGCTGGAGATAGCACCTCCGTTCTCAAACATGTTGACAAATCCCTCATTCGGGCCCATGGGGAACGTGTTGGATGGATAGGAATAGGACTTTTCCACAACCAGCACTCGGTGACCCGCTTCGGCGAGGTTCTTTGCAGTCACGCTACCGCCGCAGCCACTTCCCACGATAACGACGTCGGTTTCAATCATTTCTGGCTGGTCCCCAGGAGGGAATTGCAAAAACTCATACTGGAAACCGTCGGCGGGTTTGCCATGAACAGGCAGGCGTGGGAACCCCAGAACTGGGCCTATGGTTGGACTGGTGATAATCCAACATTTCTTAACGATGGCGGTGAGTCCTCGGTAGATGGCGCGGAGAGGAGGCAAGCGAGAAGTGTCCCATCCACGCACAACCTTTTCCCGGAATTCCACCGGTTGGTCCTGGATTGGCGTGGTGGAACCCGTTATAATCAGCGAGCCCGCACGGGTGTTGAGCGCAGTCAGGATAAACCCGAAGCCATTCCTTCCCTCGTCATGCACATAGTCGCCCAGGAGTCGCTCCACTATGGCCCGGAATTGCGGGTTTGAAGAAACATTTTCATGCAGATATTGGGTGGCAATGTTCACGGCATCCGGTCCAGAAATAACCGTTGACAAGCTGGATACGGCAGAATTCCACTCTGCATCTGAAATCACTCGGTCGTTCGATGACTTGGCCGTTGCCGCCGTGTGGATGGAGGGCACAAGTGCGTCGGCCAGCGCATATAAGGTCTTCCACTGCAACTCTGAGAAGTAAGTGGCCGAAGGCGCTGGCGGAAGAGGGACATCCCTCGGGGTGTATGTGGAGACAGCATGGGTGGGCATAATTGCAACCAGAACAAAGGTCTCGTAGATCGAGCTCCGATGGTAGCAGAATGGGAATAAGAATAAGAAATGAGATTGTGGAGCAAAGAGAGAAGTGCATCTGGGCACGGGTCACGGACGTTTATAATATACGAGCTCGAGGTCCCCACTATGGTAACAGATACATATTTGTTCTTGGGGGGGAATCTTTCGGACAATCGTGGAGAGAGTAGTCCGTATAGACTAGTATGGACTCCTCCATCATACTGTGTCCTGTCAGCCCTTTCAGCCCTTTCAGCCATTTCAGCTCTCACCCAAAAAAAAGGAAACACCCCCAAAACCCGGGGGAGAAGCCTCGGTTGGGTGGAGTCGAAAGTGAGCATGTTGATTCTGGTGGGGGGGATATTTTGAATACCTCGACCAGTTAAGATGCAAATCTTCCCATTGACAATTTCCAAAAGGTCAAAGTTCCCTGGAGAGGCAGATCCCCCCCCTCTTTTCTCCGAAATAAGGGGCTCACAGGCTCTCACGGGCTCATTTGCGGGGGAAATTGCCGAGTTCCAGGGCCATGTGAGAGTAACCTTGAGACTAGAGCCTTGATAGGAAATGAACTTCAAGATAATGAACTTCAAGATACTGGAAGTTCATGTCAATGGCAGATATACAGTCCTACCGCCTTTTTCTGCTGAGAGGAAATATCTATACAACATACATGTATGTATCTATACCATGTCTAAGGAGACTAAAATAGACATACAAAGATGCTGTCTGAGACTATCTGAGAAGACCAGGCTGCGCATAAACTATTCTTGTAATAGTAGTGTTGTAGTGTGTAGTCTAGTGTGTGTGTGTGTGTGTGTGTAGATAGTTGGGTGAGAGTAACTTCTCCGCCCGGACTTTGACGACCTTGACCTTTCTCAAACAATGGACACCCAAACTCCCTCTAGCAAATGTAATCTGCCGAAAGAGAAAGTCTTCTCTATTCAGATTGGTTCCGAGATCTTTCGTCTCTCGGGTGCTTCAATTGCCTCTGATGGTAAACGCACTTATTCTCTCCCATCCAACTTCGAAACTGACCCCTTTCCAACAGCTCCATCCTACTTTTCACGCTTCTTTGAGGATCAATTGCTTCAGAGTCAAGATGTCGCCAACATAAGGACCCTCTATATCGATCGCGATCCCACGACATTCCGCGAAATTGCTAGGCATCTGCAGGTATGGGACACCATGGACAAACACGGACGGAGACTGATAGGTGGTGCATCTAGGCTATCATGTACGGCCCCAGGATGGCGCGCAATTCGTGAAGCTATTCGCAGATGCGCAATTCTATACATGTGAGCATTCGCATTCTCTGTCCATATACCATGGAAAGTAATGGCTGACCCCGATAGTGCCCCGATTGATGTCCCAGCTGTTCGAGTCCGAATGCTTTATTCAGATCGGCGACCGACACTTCCAGATCCCCCGCGATATCTTCTCAGGTCCCGGTGATTCCCCAAACTTCTTCACCCTCGGATTTGCCGCCTTCTTTGCCTCCCCGTCCGAGGTGTTCCCGGGCCTGGACCGCCAGGGTCTCTTGCGACCTCCGGCCATCATCCCCCCAAGCGTGCCGAACCGATCGGCGGATGTCTTCGATGAGCTCCTGCATCTGCTGCGCGGGTATCCCCTACATATCAGAAACGAGGATCATCGGGCTTCGCTCCTACGCGACTGTCGTTATTTCCACCTACGCGGCTTGGAACAAAAGTTGATACCGCATCAGATAACCACGAATCCCTTCAGCCATCGTTTGGAAATAGTCATCCGGCTTGAGGATGTGCGACCGTCTGGGATTCAGTTTGCCTCTCATACGGTTTCTGGGTCGCCTATGGGTGGAATGGTCACATACGCGCGCCCCTTTGTAGACGAGAGCGCTGCGGATCTGGTGGTCGAGATCGGCGATGAGTCTAGTCTGATCCATCCGGGGAGCATGCGTGCTGACTTCCTAGGCCTGTCAAAGCAAAGAATTGCCAGCCTGTTACAGACGGTAGGCAAAAAGATGAACCTGCCTGATTCACATCCACCATTGGGCCAAGTCCCAATTAAGGTCCGTGTCGACCGTGAAACTGATCTCACGGTGGATGGAGAACAAGACCCCCAGCATTTGAGGATACCAAGAGCCAAGGCCGAAGCTGGCGAGGATGATGTCCCTGCAGCTAAACGCCCACGGGTCGATAATACGGACGATCGGCCCTGGGTTGTTCGGACAGGACAATGGCGATTGCAAGTGCAGACAGGCCCTACCGGGGCATACGAAGTTGTCTTGGTCGCTGTCAAATTGGACATCTATACCAGTTCACAGGTCCGAAACCGGTCACGGAAATTCCTCTAGTCGCGTGTACGTCTGTTCGAGTCTCAAACTGCATCATATGCCAGAAGACTTGAATGTACGATATCAAACAGATGCTCTCGGGGATTGTTGCACGCTGGGCAAACTTGCATTAATATATAATTTTTGTCTAATCGGAGAATCCTCCCCATTCTTCATCGTCTTCATCGTCTTCATCGTCTTCGTCTTCATCGTCTTCATCGTCTTCATCGTCTTCATCTTTTTCCTCTTTTTCCTCTTCATCGCTCTCACCGTGCTTGTCGTGTCCACTTCCCTTCGCCGGAACAGCCGCGATAGCGTGACCAGGGTCACGAATGAATCCAGCTACGAAGAATCCTCCGAGGCCTTCTGCGTCGCCTTGCCAGGATCTGATGCACGCTTCTAGTGCCTCGTCAGAGAGATCTACCGTGCCCGATGGCCCTGTCTCTCCTTCAGCTGGCCGCTCCTCTCGGACACCTCGTTTCTTCCATCGACGCAAGCCATCAGGCTGCTCATCGCGCCGCAGGAGGCGCCAGCCGCGCTCTTTGGCGACCTGAGAATTCAGAATGCGAGCCACGACACCCTCATTCTCAATTAAGTGAATAGAACAAGTACTGTACGTCACACGGGTAGCATTCGAGAAACGCAGAGCGTGTTCAACGATCCGCGCTTGGATGCTTGATAGTTTGGTCAGTCGCTCTGAGTCGATTGTCCCATCTGGGATATCATTTTCATCTATGGGCGCTGCCTGCGGAGTTCCCATGGTGGCTTTCGACTGTTCACCATCTGCTTCGTCTTCGTTGCCTGGGCGTTTCCTTTTCTTTCCATGTGACTTGGGCGCCTTGTATGCTGCCGCAGCAGGGAGTGTGAACTGAGGGACATCGTCACGGCCGATGATTCCGCTACCAGAACAACTGGGATCCAACAACAACCCAGTAACTTTCTCAAACTGTTCATCTTCCGGGTCAAGCGCAAGGAAATCCTGACCCTGCAGCACAGTGACCGAGTCAGCCCCGGCCAGACTAACCATTTTCTGCAGCGTTCTGGAACGCATGGTAGATGCATCCATAGAAAAGATTCTCTGTTTGCTGTCTTTGTTCCCCTTTTGTTGTTTGGCCAGAAGCGAAGCCAAGTGCGTAGTCTTATTCCGGGGGCAGCACAGCCATCAATCAAGTCGCCCTCCCATGGCTTGCTGGGCCCACAGTCACCTAACAGGAGATATGCCGGAAAGCAGGACGCCTTGTCCTGGAGAATGATTTCTCCGGTTTTGTAGGCAGATGAGGCAGTGAAGTCTGCGCCGAAAGGTACCGCCACCAAATCTGGAATGTTGGCATCGATGAACAATCGAGGCTCTGGCTTTCGGCTTTCCAGCTCGTCTTCTGGGGCCAATTCTGCAAGAGTGTCTACCCGACGGTAAGACTTGAACGTAGTGCTCATCTGCTCTTCAAGTGTAGTGCGGATATTATTGATGCGCACCCAGCGCGGGTACACGAAGTGGCTGGTTCCATCAGCCAGTCGTTTCTCACGTATGACGACAGACTTGAATTGCTCGATAGTGGCACACCCACGACGGACACGGGCCTTGGTGAACTCAGCCCTTAGCCTGGCCTTGTGACGCTCCACTGTCTGGCGCAGTGTGTGGGTTGCTGGTGCGGCAATGCCCTTTTTCGCGAGTAGGTGATCATGAACGAGGAGAAGAGCAAGAAGTGGAGAGAGCTAGATGGAAATCACTTAGTCAGTCAGTAGGTATCTCAGGTGGTTCCTCTAAAGTCAGCTCACCTTGCGCTCCAGGGCGAGAATGCCTGACTTGTCAATGACTTCTGCCAGCACCGTGTCCCATTTAGCAGCCTCCGTGATCAACGCATAGATCTGCGCTGGAGATGCGCGCAGGTCCCGAGCGCTGTAAACCCGGGACTTGAATGAGCCCCCTGAGGAGGGTGCAGTCAAGATAGCAACCGCATCAAAGTAGAGGGACATTGGGAGTATGGAATGTTGGTCGGAGAAATGGGAGGATTTTCGCTATCGAAATGATATTTTGGTGCTGTTTGTTCTGTTTGCATCAGATTGTATTGAACCATGAGACTATAAAACGAGCATGGCTTCAAAGGGTACATATGTATTATAACTTCGCTGTGATAAGAGCACTGTCTCGTCGTCTTCAATTATATCCAAACCCAACGACGGGTAGCGTTCAATGTTTTGTGGCTGATCTCGTCGGTATCTATATATCTGCATGGGCCTTCCGCCATGACCTTTAGCTCCTTCAACTTCCCAGATCTTCACTGTCATTGCCATTGAAGACCCTTTAACCTTCTTCTTTTTTTTTCCATCACCTACCAGAATGGCAACCAAATCAACGTTTAGCACTTCAATACAGCCGCCTCCAGGACCCAACGCAAAGCTAGTACTCCCATCCCAAGACTTAAGCAACAACACCAACCCCACTATCTTCAATGATGCAATGATAATCCGAAAGTCCGTCTTCATCGACGAGCAGCACTGCACCGCAGACTCCGAGATCGACAGCGACGATGCCCGCAGCTGGCATTGGGTACTATACGACAACTCCGCTGCGACCTCCACGCCGGTGGGGGTTATCCGCCTGGTACCCCCGCCACAGGTACCTCACGCCCATCTCACGGAAGCGCCAGCGGCGGCAGTCGCGCGGGGAGTGCCCGAATTCGACTGGACGCACGAACCTTGTATCAAGCTGACCCGGGTGGCGATCATGCCGTCGTTCCGCGGCCTCGGACTTGGGCGACGATTAGTGGAGACGGCGCTGGGCTGGGCGGCTGTGCATGCGGCAGATATAGATGAGGCCGCGGCGCAGATCGCTGCGAGGGGGAAATCACCTGTTACTCCGACTCCGTGGCGGGGGTTGGTCCTTGTGCATGCCCAGGTGGATGTGGAGGGGATGTATGCTGGGCTTGGATTTGCAACGGATCAGTCGTTGGGTCGGTGGGATGAGGAAGGGATTGAGCATGTGGGTATGTTCCGGCGGGTGGTTCTGGATAAATAATGATGATCTACATGGGGCAAACATAGTCTACGAGTAGAGAAAAAGCTCATATGGGTTCAATATCAATGGATTCGACTAGATCGAACTAAATCGAACTAGATTTGAACGGGAATTGCAAGAATATCACATTCCCTCAAGCATGGGATCAGGGACCAGTAAAGAAGAAACATCAAATGAGATCGCCGCGCAACAAAAACCGACGGGGTATCCTGATCAACGCAAAGCAAAAGAAATGAAAAAAGAAATAAAAACTCCACCGGGCTGCTAAGGACCGATGAGTATCGACGCAAAGAAGAAAAAAAAAAGAAAAGAAAACAGATACAAAAATCAACCGAGCCGCTAAGGGCCGATGAGTATCTGATCAACGCAAAGCAAAAAAAGAAAAACAAAAAACAAAACAAAAACAAAAAAAAAAAAGCAGAAAAGCAGAAAGCAACCGGGTCGCTAAGGGCCGATGAGAACCCTCTAGGCATGCAAAGTCATGACATGACTGCAGAAAACAGAGAAACAGAGAAGCAAAGCCCAGGGCCCAGGGCCTGTCAGAAACGCCAAAGCCATGGTCGCCAATAGAGAAAAAGCAGGTCACGCGCGGGCATGACTCGGTAAAGTGAAGAAGATTATGACAAGTAAGATCAAGTGAAACGCCGAGCTGCAGCAGTCCTGCTGGCCACAGTAAAGGAAATATGGCAATGCGTTTAGAAAGTGCTCCAATTCCAGTCACGAGGAACGGAGGCAGCGACCTCGGTCTGACCCACGGTGGACTCGGGATTCTCGGTATTCATGCCCTGGGAGTCGGCACCAGAGATGCCAATCTGCTGAGCATCGATGGTATTCTGGATCTTGTTCAGACGGTCGGAACGGTTCTCTTCCCAACGTTGGTGGGCGCTCCAGCACAGATCGCAGGCACGGGAGGGGACACCATCGGGATGGAAGCGGGCATCCTGGTCGAGGGGAACGAGATGAGGTGTGTGGGAGGCGCAGAAGACGTGGCCACAGTGACGGCAGTGGTGGCGGCGCAGGAAAATGCCGAATGAGGAGCGGCAAGTTGGAGAATCACAGTTGGAAGAGGCAGAGTCAGCCTGAATAAAGTTAGCAATTGTCCTCTTAAGAGTGACCAATGCGATCAAAAGACATGTGGGATGCGACAGGGCTGAGGCGGTGGACTTATAGCACGCCATTTCTCGGAAATGACGAGCTCAACACGACATTTGCTTTGAGAACTGCGCAATCCAAACCGAACCCGATCCCTATAAAGGCGCGGAAGGAAGGAAAAGAAGGAACTTTTTTTTCTTTCTCGAGATACTCACTTTCCAGTGTGTTCGGGTCGGAAGGCCGGTTACCGCACCCAGGTGTTCGTTCTTCATCCACTCATGCTGGGCGCTCTGGCTTATTTCGCTGGACTGACTCTCCATGGTGGAGCGGCGGCTGATAGGTTCGGACGAGTCCTCGTTCAGGCTGTCAAGAGAGCCGTGTGCGCTGCGGGGTGGGGTAATGGGCGATGATTTCTGGGGTCGCTCAGTGGGTCGCAGGGCTGCAGGCACATAGAGGGGGCCCTTCAGAGGACGCAGCTGTCGCGACTGGAGAGGAAGTTGGTGCAGGGAAGCGGTGGTCATGCGAGGGGAGGTGGGGGAATTGTTGGAGGGAGTGTTGGTGGCGGAGTTAGTTGGGGATGGTTGACCATAAACCGAAATCTGGTTGGTTGCCGGGTTGGTCAAAACATGAGTCGCCATGATGATAAAAAAAAAAGATGGTTGACAGGGAGAGGATTGGGATGTGTTGAATTGAAAAGGTGGGAGGCGGAATGTTAAGAGTAGAGTATAAAGGGCAATCCCAAGCTCAGCGGCAAAAAGCAGATACCGAGGGGCAAAAAGGAGTTCGAATAAATGTCAGTACGGAGTACACAGAGAGCCGTTCAGCCGGGGAAGAGGCAAGAAAACAGGTCGACTGTGAGTGGTCGAACGTAGTGGGGACAGGAACGTTGGAGCTAAGATTGTATTTTCGTATGCAGAGAGTGGATTAAGTGGAGATATTGGAGATGAGAACGGGTGAACAGTGTTGAGAAGTGGAAAAAAGAAGAAGAAGAAGAGACAAAATAAATAAAGGAAAAGGAGGTGAAGGAGAAGCTCTGGAGGTGAAGAGCATACTACTCTGAGAGTACATGGCTGTGATACTGTTACTTTTTAGATCTGGTATTGTATTGTATCTCGTGTGTATGGGGAGGACAACTTGTCTGCCTTCTACTTCTGGGTACTTGGTGGCGGGGAATATACATGCGCAGGGGCCAAGTACCGCCAAGTACTATTATGTAGCCCGTGTGTCTTTTCCACGTACAATGTTGTTTATCGAGTACATCTTGTAGGACGTACTTTTTTTTACTTCTTTTTTTTTCCTTTTCCTCCACAGTGATTTACATACAACATACATTTCCCCGATATGAAATCATAAACTGGACTAGAGATCTGGATTACCTCGACTTTCTTTTGACCGCCATTTCTGATTACCCAGACCGGTTTTCCATATGAAGCCCCAGTGACGGGTTTCCTTTTGCGGTCTCTCCACTTGAACCTTGGAATCCGCAAATTGGGTCAAGGACACAGTTCCGATCTACTTCCCAGATTCCAAGGTTTACATAATTATATTGTATTTAAGACTCACATACTGTACTTACAGACATATGAAGTGGAATAATAATAATACAATCTAAAAAAATAATATAACAATGTAACATGCACTTGCAGTTTTCATTTATCCAAGACAAAACTGGAAAATAGGAAAAAGAAAAGGGAAAATGTCGCTCCTTCCTCGGGGATCCTTAGGTTCACTAGCGTCAAACTACGGTAAACAGTGACCAATCAGACAGTTTGTGGCGTCTCTTCTTATCGTCGAGCGATGATTGGGCCGTTCCAATCTCAATCATCCTATTGGCCTGACCCTCCAGCGGATGCCGGAGCCCCGCGGAAATCTGAGACCGAAGTATCCAATCAACTCGTAGGAAATAGAAATAAATTAAATATAAGATTATCTGCATGTCTGAAAAAAGTAATCATCCAGAAGACCTCGGGAAGTTGTGGGCACTGGGTTTTGGAGCCGAGGTCAATGTTAAACCTCAATCTCGGGAGAACAAAATAGAGAAAAAATCATTGAAGTTGCGATTGGAACTGGTTTCAGAGGGAGTACGGAGGTATTCCGCCTACGGAGTACTCCTGTAATGACGGTTGATGCATACTAGGAATAAGCTAGTACCTAACTAGGTAAGAGGTAGTATTTCATATAGGCCATATCCCGCTTCTAAGACCTCTGGAGGATTGGAAGAGTACAACATACAGTGTACTACATCTGCACTGGAATGCGGGAGGTTGCAGTCGGAGATCTGGGGGAAGTACCTCCCGAGGTCATCCCAAAATCGCCGCTTGCAGGCGTCATACGATAACACCCATGTCGTCATGACTTTGTTATAGTTCAATATGCAAACCTTGGAACCCCCAGATCACAAAAAATATCTATCATGAAGCTGGCGGTCTTTAGTGCCAAATCCTACGACCGCACCTACTTGGACCAGGTGCGTGACCAGCACTTTCCCGAGCTCTGCACCATTGAGTACCATGCCTTCGCGCTGTCTGAGGAGACCGTGCCCCTCAGCCCAAGGTTGCGATGCAGTGTGCGTCTTTGTCAACGACACCCTGGACGACCGCGTGCTGAGAGCCCTTCATGCCTACGGGATCCGTGCCATCTTGCTCCGCTGTGCGGGATTCAACCATGTCCATCTCGAAACTGCCGAAGAGCTAGGCCTCTTTGTGGCGAACGTCCCGGCATATTCCCCCGAAGCCGTGGCGGAGTTCGCAGTGGCCCTGATCCAGACTTTGAATCGCAAGACTCACCGCGCATACAATCGTGTGCGTGAGGGCAATTTCAACATCGAAGGTCTCCTTGGGAATACTCTGCATGGCAAGACCGTGGGGATCATCGGCGTGGGACGTATCGGACTCGCAGCCGCGCGCATCTTCCACGGCTTCGGGTGCCGACTACTCGCGCACGACCCCTTTGCCGGCGAAGAGTTCCGCCAGTTCGGGACGTTAGTTGACCTCGACACCCTGCTACAGGAGAGCCACATCGTTAGTCTGCATTGTCCCCTCACGGACAGCACGAAGCATCTCATCAATGAAGAGACATTGGCGCGCATTAGACCGGGGTCCTTACTGGTCAATACCTCGCGGGGTGGACTCATCGATACCACGGCGGTCATCCAAGCGCTGAAGACCAAGCAGCTGGGCGGGTTGGCATTGGATGTCTACGAAGCCGAAGGCGAGATTTTCTATAACGATCACTCCGGGGAGATCATCGACGACGACGTGCTGATGCGCCTAATGACCTTCCACAACGTCTTGATCTGTGGTCACCAGGGGTTCTTCACACGCGAGGCCCTCGAGGAGATCGCTGAGGTCACACTCGGCAATTTATCCGATCTGGTCTCGGCCCGCTCGTGCAAGAACTCCCTGGTCACGGAGGGACATGTACTAGTTCCCCTTGATACAGAGCCGGTAAGGCTATAAGGGAAGTCTGAGTATATGTGGATATGAAGCATCCATGTATTTATATTTACATTAATCTACCACACACGTTAAGCCAACGTATCGTTCATCTAAAACCCTCTTCTCCTGCTGGGAACTATGCCCCTGTGATTGACCCTTGAACCATGACTTCTGATGCAACTCTGGAAGAGGAGCGTTGTCAAGCTTTATTTTAAGTTCCTCGATATCTACTTCTGACCAGCATGGATAATTCTGAGGATCCTATTCATGGGAATCGGATTAGAAAATAGCCTTGCGTTTCCCCCCCCAAAAAAAAGGAGATTCCGTCCTCCTAATAGTCACTACTGCGTGTTGATACCATGATTGCTGTTAACAGAGAATAGCCCACCTTTGGCCTGTCATATGACGGAAAACACGCAATTCAGGGAGATTCAGAGCTTCGGGCAATTTCAGGCCCTTCTCATATCAATATTCCTTTACCTGCGGATGTGAATACATAGTCTATATACAGCCGGTGAAGCCTCGGTAGTGGGATGATCAACATGAACATGTGGATAACCCTCCAGCATAAAATGGAAATTGTGCTAGTAGAATAGAGAACTACAGAGCAGATAGAATTCTGACCGGTCCAGCCCAAATTTGTGAATTTTGGTCCCTTATACAACATAGGACATGTACGGAACGTCCTTATTAACGAACTCCGGTTAGCTCTATTTGTTGATGCTAAAGTTTGTCGGAGATAGTCGCCACATTAAGTATTGTCTACACATAATAGAAGCATTGTAGAATGGTCCGAATACGATTGTTATACGCCTAACACCTGAATATGTTGGATAATCAGAATCGTCCGGAACTCAAGATCTGCAGGTCTCGGCCTCTTTTCCCTTCTGGGAAATAAACTTGGAAGCCTCGGGCCATCTTGACATCATCCACGTGCGGGCATTTATATCCTTGGAAGTTCTTCTTTGTTGACTTGGTGACTTGGGCTTTCTTGAATCTCATACATAATATATAACACTGTTACAGTATAACATTATGGACAACAATCAAGGTTGCAAGATTACTCTCTATTGGTACGCTCCTCACAGTCTCTCCAGAATCATAATAACCCACATTCCAGGCTCGAGCAATCTCGAAGTCACAGAATCCTTTGGCTTTTGGAAGAACTGAAATTGGAATATGAGCTCAAAATCTTCAAGCGTCGCGCTGACAAGCTCGCTCCTGCTGAGCTGAAGGAGGTCCACCCGCTGGGCAAGTCGCCTGTGATCACCATCCAGGCACCGGGCGCCACAAAACCGCTAGTATTGGCGGAGTCTGGTGCGATCGTCGAATATCTCTGTGACCACTTTAGTAGCGCGCGACCGACGCTAGTACCCCAACGGTACACGCCCGGCAGCGAGGGCAAAGTGGGTGGAGAGACCGAGGAGTGGATGCGCTATCGCTACTTCATGCACTACGTGGAGGGCAGTTTGATGCCTTTCTTGGTTATGACCCTAGTCAACGACTGTAAGTCATCTTTCATTTAAAGCGTGAACACCGTAGATGCTCGCATGGCGTTGATGATCCAACGTTGGAAACATCGCTGACATTTCCGACAGCTATTCGGAACGCGCCTCCATTCTTTGTTCGACCTATCACTAGCATTGTTGCCTCACAAGTTGAGAATCAGTTCCTCACTCGCAATGTTGAGGGTAATCTCGCCTTCCTTGAGGAACAGCTCCGCACATCTCCTGAAGGTGGCGAGTACATTTGCGGCAAGGAGCTGACAGCTGCCGATATCTTACTGAGTTTCCCAGTCATCGCTGTTACCATGAGAGTGTTGAAGGAGGAGAAGAACAAGGAGAAATACCCTCTTCTTGTCGAGTATGCTAACCGCCTCGAGAGAAACGAGGGGTACCAGCGTGCCGTGAAGAAGATTGAGGAGATTGAGGGAAAGTTCTCGGCTTCTATGTAATTTAGAAATTATGATAAAGGGCACAATCGATTTCCATAAGTCGTTAAGCCCTCGGGTCTCATTTATCTCATTTATACCCCGTTGCGTCGCTGAGATATGGAAGACATTTGGTTGGCGGATGATCTCGGATATCATTTCACACCTCCGCAACCGCATACATCGATAATGAGACTATCCAGCAAGGATAAGAAGAAGGAATAGAGACAGAAACAAAATAATATATATCATTTCATCTTTGGAATGTACAACGTAGCTTAGCATGTAGACATGGTGAGGACGAAAACTGATTACATCATTCAGCTGATTCATCATCATGTGACCTTCAACTTCAATCCCGGCGACGCTTGCAAGCGTTGTCGGTTCTGTGTCTACGCTTCAACGCTTTCCGCAACAATGGCTGGTCCTAGCAAGTGTGAGTTTTGAGAGTCCCCTGTGTGCAGTGAGCTGAATTGCTAACCCATTGTTCCAGCTCTGATCCTTGACCCGGCCCTCCAGAAATACTACGGTACATGCCCCCCCAACCCCATCTCCCAAGATCCAAGATTCCGGATGAGTTTCACGCATTACACTGGCGCAAGCATACACATGAGCTACTTGGACCAGCTCTGTTGAACCCAGCATCCTGCGACACAACATATCCTCGCCGATTGAAGATTGACTAACGGACCCACAGAGCTCAATGCCAACCGTTACAAATACTGGCGCTGGACCCCGCGCCATGCCATGATATCGTTCGTCTACATGGGCCTGATTCCCGGCGTCCTTGGCTACATTGCCTACAAGTACGAGGTATGGAATGGCGTATTGTGGTTGGATTGCGATTGTGGTCCAATCCCGCGGGGAAGCACGCGCTAACAATATGCAGGGCCAATTCGAGTTCCGTGGCAAGCGAAGGGGAGATTCGATCGCCGAGTGGTAAACATTTAGCGATGAACTTCATAATTCAATTCCCGTTTCGGTATCAAACCCGTACCGAGCAGCGACTGTGACATGACGCGACATGGAGAACTACACACTGAGGTGTTGGAGATACTAGTGTGTCGAGGGGATTTTGCCCGACTTTTTCTTTTTGTGCCGGCGCCCGTTGCGTGGGCCGTGTACTTTATCACAGCATATACCGCATGGATTCCTTTATTTTGTTGACTTACTGTACCGTGCTTGGACCTGGGGTTTACTTCAAAGGCCAAACATACAGCCTGGGGGTATCCCATCCGAAAGACAGGTGGTATCCATTCTAGTGACAGTTGCTATCCCGGATTTCCGATAGGCATCTATTCGCCACCAGCTTGGAGGTCGTCCATGGATGGTAATAGCTGAGCATCTACATACTCAACCTTTGTAACTTGATATGCTCCACTCTAGCAGAATATCAGGACGCCGCATAGAGTTACCTATGTATCTACACGACCACAGGATGAATACCCTTCACCCTCAAGCCTACTTAGACTACATACGGCGATTGAAGAGGCCAACATCGTCGAGAGTTAGATAAGTAGATTTTCCTAGTGGGGATATCGCTAAAATGCTGCAACATGAAGCTATAGTAACCCCTTCGGCCAGTGGCAGAGCGCTACCCTAACGCCGAGGCAGGGGGCACATCATTCTTGTTTTTTTTTTTGATGGTACTGTATGTAGTACATGGTACGGACTTCATTGGCCTTAAACTAGATAATCATACAATGTCTCAATATGGGTATCCATCGCCCTTTTGACAAACTTGCTTTTGAACTGGATTTCTCCTCGCCCCTCTCAATATGGTGCCCATCCACGACGGCCTCGTCCACCTTCAGGCAGTCGCTCACCACGATGCCAATCGCCTCGGGGCATATGGGGAGGACCACCACCACCACGAGGACCACGGCCAGGCCCACGAGGATATCCATTATCCCGGAACGCGCGCATGCCACCTCCACCTCCACCTCTGGGTCCCATGATCGGGCCTGACGCGCCATTGAGCGCGGGCGCAACGGATCCGTCCTCGAGCGGTGGAAGAATTGCGCATTCAATGTAGTCTCCAACGATGAAACGGGCATCCTGCAGGGGCCTGTCGGCTTCAGAGCCCTGGAAACGGAGTGGGCCAGGGCGAGGTCGTGCTTCCTGCTTATCTTCGTCGTCGTCTGCGCGCAACTGACTATCTCTCGGTCCAACAATAGCACTGCCTAAATCCCTGCTCAAGTATCGACCACGCGCATCGGGGCCGCCCATTGCCGCGCCGCGCGCGTCGGGGTAAATCAGTCGGAAGCAGAGACGAGTGCCAACGGGTGGGTCAGGGAGTAATGAAGGAAGAGCAGAAGTAAGAAGTTGCGAGAGCTCGCGAAGTGTGCATGAGTGCCATGTGTAGATCTCCAGATGTGGTGGGAGCGCTGTAGATGCGACAGGTGATGTTGGACGAATGGCATTCGGTCCGCTGACCGGTCCTCCGCGGCGAGATGGTGGGGGAATGCTGTAGTCGGATAGAGGGTTGTAGTTGTTAACTCGGTAGAAGAGCTTCAAATGAAAAGGTGCAGTGGTCTGGCGGTTGATCGAGGGTTTGGGGCCCTCGCGCGACGGAGCGGCCATGATGGATGGTAGGGTGAAAATCAGAGGTTGCAATTCAGAGGATGGGGAGGAAACAGTAGAGATGGAAGATGCGATGACTTGAATATAAATTAAAGCTTGGATAAAGGTCCTTGAAGGTGAATGTTTGGAATTTGGTTGAGGGGAGTAGTTGAAAGAGACAAATGCGGCGTCGAAAAAGCTGCGGGTTCTCTGAACGTGCAAAGCCGAACATTCTTTTTCCTTCAACCTCCACACATCTTCCTTTGACGCAACTCTCCCTTATTTATTTTTCTACTTTTATCTTGAGCCACAGTCGCATTATCGCATTATTCAAGCTCACTGCAACACCGCCATGGATTTCGCCGCGTTGATGTCCAAGGAGATCTCCAAGGCCAAGGGTAGCGATGCTTCCAAGCCATCTGGCAAAGATACCGGGAAGAGCTCCCCCGTAGCACCAACGAAGAAATATATGCGACGAGGCGATGTCGAAGCTGCCCGGATTGAAGCTTATAACGAAGAGCAAGAGCGACTTGCACGGGAACGCGAAGAGCGCATGGCGAATAAGCGCAAGCTCGAAGAAGAAGAAGCGGATCGAAACCGAGAACGCGAGGAGAAGAAGCGAAGACTAGCCGAGGAGTCGAAGAAGAGGAGAGAAGAAGAAGAAACAGCCAAAGAACGTGAACGGCGGCGGAGGCTCGGTCTGCCTGAGCTGCCTGAGAATACCCCAGCCGACGGTGACGCAGAGGAAGATATCGAGGAGGAGGAGCTTACTGCAAAATTACGAGAGATGAATGCGCCGATAAAATTGTTCGGAGAGGACTATCGAGCCCGTCTTCGACGATACCGTCGTCTAGTTCAACGGGCCGCTATTCCCAAGAAGAAGGTGACCGATGGACCTATTCCCACCACCCTGGAGCCCGTGTCTGGTGGACAGATGATCATTCCAGCCAAGATCCCGAAGGACCAAGAGAACCGTCTGTTCCTTTTCCGGCAATTGGCGTCTTACTTCAACATGGTTTTGTCGGAATGGGAACTGGCACTAGCAAGGCGTGACATCTCTGTGCGAGAAAGTTTCCAGGGAAAACAAGCGTTCAATGCCATGATCCAATCACGCGAAAACATGACCCCGTTGTTCCGCCTCTTCGAGAAGTCCGACCTAGAGGATGGGCTGTTGGAACCAATTGTTGAAATTGTGCACAAGGCGCAACAACGGCGATATGTCGATGCAAATGATGCTTATCTACGCGTGAGCATCGGTAAAGCGTATGTCGATCCCACTGGTAGAATTTAGAAATGACGCTAACATACCTATAGAGCGTGGCCCATCGGTGTGACCATGGTTGGTATTCACGAGCGATCTGCACGAGAGAAGCTGCATCAGAGTGACCAGCAGGCACACATTCTGAGTGACGAGATTACCCGCAAGTATCTACAGAGTATCAAACGCTGCTTGAGCTTTGCGCAAGTCCGCTGGCCCCCGGAGGATCAATTGCAGATGATGGGTTAGCCCCGTTGAGAATAGTGTCCGAATATACCCATAGCGTTTCAACAAGGAAAACATGTACATTTAGAGCCTGTAATATTCATTTTTCCATCAATTTGAACATCGACTTGAACTGGTCTCTTTCAATAACCCGGAGACTGTGACAACGCGGTACCCTCTGCGATTCAGCTCCGGCAACACCTTCTGTAACATGGGCACCATCCACTCTCTCCGATCATGGCACACGATGATACTCCCTGGCTTGACCATACTCAAAATATGACTCGCGTTCAGTTTCCAAAATGGCACCTGCGGGTCATGCGGATACACATCGCCGAGCACCAGCCGATAGCCCAGCTCCTTTACAAGGGATCTCATCCGGGAGCTGAAAAATCCCGAGCCAGGGCGAAAGAGCCAATTCTCGGGCTGTGGTGTATTTCCTGCGACATATGCTTCCCGGATTCTGGCATGGACTGATCGGATCTGATCTGCCAAGACGTCGTCACTGAGTGCACGCGATGGTTCATCATACATGGCATGGTTGGCCAGTTCGTTGCCAGCTCGGACGAGATCAGCCAAGACAGATTCGTGTCCTGGGATCTGGGATCCTATCAAGAAGAAAGTGGCAGCTGCATTGTGCGATTGCAATAGACGAAGAATTGCAGGTGTGTGTACGGAGGGCGCGTCGTCAATCGTCAATGCAACCACTTTGTTGTTTGTGTCTACGCGGAAGAGTACGCCGGGCCAGCGACGTTGACAGTAACGAATGAACAGACTTGGGGGGTTTGTATATGCAATAAAATGGTACGAGGAGAAAAAAAGTGGCGAGGATGGCTTGAAGCATGGCTTCTGTGGAGGATGAAGGTTGTTTTGTGTCCGAGATCGAGGAAGACATCTATACATCGTCCATCACCTCTACACCAACTGGTCAGTCTTTCCTACTTTAGGGATTAAATTAGGACAATACGCTCATTTTGTTTCAATTTCATTTCTCTCCATGTAACCAAACACAATCAGTCTGAGATCCTCAAAAGTTCCTCACTCATAGGGTGCCATTAGAGTATTTTCTAGCACCTTACTGGGGAATTCTTCCTCGCCGAGTGTCGTTGTATGTGCCCAAGGCTTGAGCCGGTTCTCTTCATGAATAGTACTAGCGAAGCACCCACTCCATTTCAGGCGAGGGAAATGGTTGCAACCCTCCTGGATAGTCGAGGGATGAATGAGATCCGCATATGAACCAGTATTGTCTGTTTCTAGGTTAGTTAAGGCCAGTGAATAGTAGTATGGCCTTGGTCGTCAAGGAATCTTGTGTCCGAACCATTCTAATAGAGAAACATACCGAAGATTGTTGCCAGCTGAAGCAATTGACCGAGAGCCGTGATTTTGCCCTTTTCACACAAGTCTAGATGCCGGTTGACTGCTTCAGCCACGCTCTCGGCCTGATCTTTCGGGGCGACTGCGACGCCCCCGCCTACAAAGGAAGGTTGTAGGTTCTGTAGAACTTCCAGTGCTTTCAAGCCTCCAAAGAACTCGAAGCTCATTCTGGTGGCCTCCAAGTTACTTTGGGTTGTTCCGATATCGTGAAGCAGGCAGGCAAGGAAGTAGGTTTCATCGGTAAAGGCCCATTCGGGGAACCTGTACCGCTTGATTGCAAGTCCAAAGTGGTAAACCCGAAGGGAATGATTGTATGTTGGCTCAGGAAGATGAGACTTGGCATACTCATCGATCCGCTGGGCGAGGGACGTTGCGGGAGTGGGAACTTCAGTCACTGCAATGAATGGGGCAGGTGTTGCTGGAGGATCTGCAAGAAGAGCAGTTGCTGACGATAAAACAGGAGTGAAGCCATAGGCCGAGATGGGGTCGTGGGATGGCCACATCTTTTGAGGGCACAAGTTAGGAATACCTCTGGATGGAAATATTTGGGATATTCGGATGTTTTATACTCTCTCTCCCTCTCTATACTTTCTATTCAATAGGCTAAAAATGAATCTCAATTATCCATTATCCATTATGGTGAATTGGTAGACAGAAGATGTAACCATGACTCACTTGCCACCAGACCTACTTTCAAATGTATATTTGTATAATTGTTCCATGATAGTACTTTTGGAGTAATTTGATACATTTCAATGTATTCTTCGAAGCCAACAAAGTGACCGCATCAGGTAAGGGTACCAAGGTAGTTCTTGAATTCGAGTCTTTGCATTTCTCTCGAGGTCTATCATTTGTAGCGGCTGCATGTTGCTATTGAAGGAGAACAATAAGATAAACTTCTATAACTCTGGGCTCTCTGCAAAAAGTGCTTGCGCCAAAATCGGGACTTGATTGTAAGTACTGGAACCGAAGAGCTTGCAGAGTAGGGGACAAATCCTCGAAAATAAGATAGATCAAACAATATATGTGCCTTTCCAAGCCAATTCTAGGGTTTTACAGATCGGATCGTGATATACATGCATATCCTCCAAACACTCATCGTGTAAGATCATTCCACATGCGCGAGAATGTCTTCCACCAACCACGTACAGCGGACTGGTCTGTGACTGTCGACACTTTGCTGAAGGTATCTTCACGAGCCAGCTCCGATGCATTGCCATTTGGGTAGACATGGTGACCATCCATGCCGTTCATCACGGAAAGCGAAGACCCATGTAGTTTAGCAGAAGGTGCGTAACTGCTATAGTCACTGCGGGTGTCTCGCTCGCCATCTATCAGATGCCGAGCAGCGTAGACGCACCCACCATATGAGAATCTGACCAGAGAATCCCCAGTCAGGCTGCCGATGATATAGACTCCCGGTGCCACCTCGAGGTCCTCGATTGCTTTCGCACGGAGAGATTGGCCGGTGACTGCTGGATCCTCTTGATTGCCCTGCCCCAACACTTCACAGCGGAGCTCGGGATCGAGGTAATCTAGAGTGCCTCGCCGGCCGGCAGCATATACAAGGCCGCCCACGGTCTGAGAGAAAACAGTTCCATCTTGGCAGCGGAATGTGACCGTCGCCAGGTCGCCGTGGACTTCCACGGCTGTCACTTCAACATTAGGAAGACCTTCATAGAGGTCTTCCCAATTCCGGCTTTCAAGGAATGGCGTTGAAGTCGCGCGTCGGTACTTTGGCCGCTGGTCTTTACTAGCGGCTTTGGCTGCGAGAGCGGATCGTTTCATAAGACGGTAGACACCGGCATATTCTGGATATGCTTGCTGATGGCAGGCCCGAAGAGGTGATGGGCGGTCATTTGGAGACCATTTGTATATGTGTAAAATCTTTTGGTTAGGGGAGGCGGACATGATGGAATCTGCAGCGGAGAAGCCAGATCCAACGACGAGTAGCGGGACATTAGGCGAGGACTTGGTCTCAAGTAATGGGCATAACACCGGCTCTGGTGAGAGAATCTCGGAAAAGATTCCACTTGCCAGGACTAGGCGCTTGCAGTGGAGGTTATGAGAACGAACATAAAACCCAGTAGCGGTGCGGGAAATGCCCTCCAATTGTTCCCCACACCGAAACGCATCATCGATATGTGCAGCCCCCGGATAGGCAGCAAAGTAATCGGCGATCTCGCGCCGCGTGGGCCTGGTATAAGATGGTAGCTCTTCGCCTGTCGTTCCTTTGTGATGGTCGGCAAAGGAGTACCCGGGCAAGGACAGCATTGCCGCATAACTCAATGTCTGGATATCCCAACTTGCGCCCCATGGATCTTCAGTCCATTGGCCTCCGGGCTTCAAGGACTTTCCAAAAACAAGATGTGAGACAGCCTTCTCGGGCTGTGAGCGCCAATCAATATTCGAGATGCAGCCGGGCTCGTCCACATCCACACTTGGCCGTACAAGTGTGTCCAGTAAGACGTTCACGGGAAGGGCCTGAGTCGAGTAAGATAGCCGGGAGGCGTCAAAATGCGCTGTAAGAGCATTCACATCGGCATTCAAAATCTCTGGCGCAGTTTTCAACTTGGCGTCCAATAGATGATCGGGATGTGGAGGGTTGGATGAGTAGAAAGGGATATGTCCATGGAGGATATATGAAAGGATCATAGCCGACGGCCCATTGCCTGGTAAAATCGGTTCAATCAGTTGCCGTTTCACAAGGACTTCTAATGGCGTGGGGTGGGATGCGGGGCTCAAGCAGAGCAAAAGTCCCCGATGGCTTCAGCATGCAACGTCAACCATGATAGACGTACCGACGATGATAGTATCAATCTCCATTGGCGGCGATGTATATCAAATCAGTGATCGAGGGTGTGGCATACTGGTATAGACATGCGACAGTAGAAAAACAAGGTCGATCATCCAATCAAAGCAGGATGAGATCCTCGTCACATTGCCTTTTCAGCAGAGGTCAATAGCAAGGCCATATGGGAATGTGACATTTGTAGCCAAGGGAATTCAAGAGGAAAGGTGAATGCCCCAGACTAAATGGGGCGGTGTTCGTATCGACAGGTCCGTCGATCAATAATCAAAAGCTGACAAACCCTGGGAAACCGGTCCACCTTCAAGTGGGGAGAAGAGGAGACTCGGAAAAATCGACGATTTTCCATTTGCTGGGAAGAACGAGCTGGGAAACTGAAACCGGAGTATTTGTCGGGGAAGTGTAGGGTTTATCATTCTATCATATTTCTGAGTTGAGATTGAACATATTTGAACGAATGTGATGTTAAAACTGTATGATGCGCACATTCAAAATGTCCGATGTAGTTCGGATTGCAACATCCCCCAGATCACAATTCAGCCCTAAGCCCTAACTTCCCAAAACGGATGAGGCTGCAACGCGGCCGGGGAACATGAGCTTCAACGTCAGAGAACTGACTGCGATGTCATGATTTTTACTTCCGATCCCGTTTTCCTATAATTCTATTTGCGCTTGGCCTTGGGCTCCCCCCCATAGGGAACGCGATCATGTATCACCTGGCCAAGTCGCTGTACTTAGCCGCCACAAGTAAAGAAGGTAACTACTCTCTCCCATCGCATGATCGCATGATCGCATGACCTTCGACGCTAATTCTTCTAAACCTCAAGAGTATTCTGTTCTCCTGCTTGGCTTAGATAATGCCGGCAAAACAACACTCCTCTCTCCAGATCAAGGCGCTGTATCAACCCCGTTCTGATGGCGCTCCGGCCCCCAACCCCGGAAAAACCGTCCCCACCGTCGGGCAGAATGTCGCAACGATAGCGTTACCAGACATGAACTTGAAGATTTGGGATGTCGGAGGTCAGATCTCGATGCGCGGTCTTTGGCAGAGCTACTACACTAGCTGCCACGCGATCATCTTCGTGGTCGATAGTGCCGACGTTGGTCAAGATCCCGATATCGCACGACTTGCTCGGCGCGCAAGCTCCGTGGCAGGTCCAGCGCGCAACGGCGCAAGAGGGAGCACAAGTGCTGAGGCCTTCTCAGAGCAAAACGTCGGAATCAACGCGGGCAGCAGTGAATTCGGACGATTAGACGAGTGCCGGCAAGTCCTCGAGTCGGTCTTACAAAGTGCCGACGTGGCCGGTGTTCCTATTCTGGTGTTAGCAAATAAGCAGGACCGTGAGGACTGCGTGGAAGTGGTTCGCATCAAGGAAGGGCTTGTCCGGAAAGTGTTTGAAGGAGAAACAGGAGGCGGCGTCCGTGACAGTCGTGTGCTGCCGGTCAGCGCGCTGCTTGGGTCTGGCGTCCAGGCGGCTGTGGAGTGGGTACAGAGTCGTGTCAAGTGGAACAAAGAGGGCAGGCCTCCAGTGATGCGTTGATTCAAAGTTGGGGCTGCCGACCATTCTCGTACATGATGTCGAGCGCAGCATATCAAGGTGCATAATGGCGTTCATGATAATTACATTTTCTGTTAATCTGTTAATATACCAATAGAGTCTATTCAATGTCAAGCTTGTTCAACTATCAGCCATGTCATCTAGGTGGTGAAGCTAGCGCAAGAACGATTTCAGGCATTTTATGCTGCCAGTTAGACATTATGTATATGGTATTATGGATGAGGATATGTAAAAAGTAAATGGGTGCAGCACAAGAGGATGTGAAGGGGTGTGATTAGACGAGGGTATGAGCTGCTCGAGACAAGCACGATAGGCGCAGAACCAAGAGTCGGCTTAAACATGTTGGTAGGCCGGAATTCTCTGTGCCGATGATTGGGGGCATTTTTTTCTCAGCGAACACTTCTGGCGGTCTCACGGGTCTTACTCGCCGGTTGCTTCTTTGGCCAGCTTCGTGCAATGTCAATGTTGGCTCGGGGAAACCACATCTCAAGAAAAACATAGATCAAGAAGTCAATCACGACACACAGACAGAACAGCTTGCCTGCCCAGACACCACAACCATAGTAGCGTTTCAACCGGTCAATTAGCGCAAAGCTGCGGACGCGATCTCCACTCGCTTCCCAGCCCTGGCCTGGATAGTAACCGTAGAATTCCTCTGGGCTGATGTCGCCGATAATCCCTTCGTACACGCGCTCAGTGCGCGCGGCCACATCCCGCCATGAATACATCATCTTCACTTGATCGTGAAATCGATCCGTGCGCACTTTGTTCGAGCGCAAAGCCGCGATTGCCTTGCTGGTTGCAAGTACAATATCATCCTCTTCCGGTTTGGCGAATGTTGTCATATGCTGAGGTAAAACTTCTGGAATGCCTCCAACGCGGGTACAGACGACGTAAAGACCACAACTAGCGGCTTCAACAATGACTGTCCCGAATGCTTCTGTCAGACTAGGATGGAGATAAATGTCACCTCGCACCATTACGTCTCGGACCTCCTCGTGTCGGACCGAACCTAGAAGTTCGACTTTATCCTGAAGCACATTGCGTTCCAACATCTGTTCCAGGTCGATTGCCTTGGGCCCGGACCCTGCAATAATGAAGCGCGTATTGGGATTGGAAGCAAGAATGCGCGGAA